TTCCCTCATAGATTAAATGTAAGGGAACCTTCAGCAGGAAAAAAAATCAGCCCAGAAGATTATATTTTGTTGAAGTCGTAGGCATTAAAAACAGAGTTTTACAATAGGAACTCTGATTTATGAGGAAATTTGGGCCCCATTTATTATTAACAACTCTTTCAATATTGCACCTGCTGGTGTGTGGATGTACTGTCATAAATATACACAGAGAATTGTAGTGCAAATACAAGAGAGAAAACAATTGCCAGTGGGGTTTTTAGCAAGGCAGCTGAAGAAAAGTTATATCTTGAGCTACAATTCATTTACACCAGTAAATCTGTAGTTATTTCTTTTTGAATGCACCAACAGTGCTTACAAATGGAATTTGTAACAGTAAAATCACTGCCAAGTCCCCGTAGCCACTTTCTTTCAGGTGCAGCACAACCATTTCACTTGGCTTTAAAACTTGGGCTGTTTTAAATTCCCTGGGGGGCTTTTAAACCCCCATGAATAAAAAAATAAACCAAAGACCAGGATGGGTTGGGTGGTCCAGGGACACTGTGTGGTATTTTAGGATGTTATTCTGTCCTAAAATAATATTTATCTCTCCAACAGCTCCTGTTCCTTCCTATCTTGGAGGCTCCAGAGGTGGATATTCCATATGCTGGATGCACATTTTGGAGCCATCTGGGATAGATGCAAGATTTTCATGAGGAAAAATCCATGGAGGAATTCCTGGCTTTTTCCACTTGCCATCTCAGAGAAAACCATGCAGAGAATCAGACCCTTCATTCTTCATGGAATCATCTTTATTTAACTATTAAAATAAAATAATTTTTGGGTTCAGGTGAGGAAAATTTTAGTATAAGTTAAAAATCAGGTTCAGCAGGGAAAAAAGTTTCACATAATTATCTTTTCTCAATAAAGGTTATTTTGAGCCAGTCTTGTTTGCTCTTCTAAGTCAAATGGAGTAAGACACAGATCCTAAACTTAGAGTGGAAAGCTGACAGTTGGGAATGGCTGGATGGAAGCACCAAGAACAGAAGAAACCTCATCTCCTTGAACCAAAAATAATGAAAATAGAGACTCATTAAAAAAAAAATCCATACAAATGATAACAGCAGTGTCAGGGAGAAGGTTCAGAGAACAAATTGGAGTGGGAAACATGGGATTATTTTGGGGAAAACTTGTACAACTTCACACAGAGGTTGGACTTGGTGGGTGACATAAGGTGGTCCCCAGAGAGAGAACTTGGCCCCAGGTGATCCCAATGACCCCACAGTGACCTCAGGTAACCCCAGTGACCTACAGTAACCCCAAAATGACCTCAAGTAACCCCAAACTGCTAGATTTTTGACCTAAAGTAACCCCAAAATTTTCTACAGAGTGTAAGTTTGACCTTTAGTAACCCCAATGACCTAAAGTAACCCCAATGACACAGAGTAACCCCAAAATGACCTGGAGTAACCCCAAAAGGCTGGATTTTTGACCTAAAGTAACCCCAAAATTCTCAGCAGAGAGTAAGTTTGACCTGCAGTAACCCCAATGACCCAAAGTAACCCCAATGACCCACAGTAACCCCAAAATGACCTAAAGTAACCCCAAAAGGCTGGATTTTTGACCTAAAGTAACCCCAAAATTCTCAACAGAGTGTAAGTTTGACCTTTAGTAACCCCAATGACCTAAAATAACCCCAATGACACAGAGTAACCCCAAAGTGACCTGTAATAACCCCAAAATGACCTCAAGTAACCCCAAACTGCTAGATTTTTGACCTAAAGTAACCCCAAAATTTTCTACAGAGTGTAAGTTTGACCTTTAGTAACCCCAATGACCTAAAGTAACCCCAATGACACAGAGTAACCCCAAAATGACCTGGAGTAACCCCAAAAGGCTGGATTTTTGACCTAAAGTAACCCCAAAATTCTCAGCAGAGAGTAAGTTTGACCTGCAGTAACCCCAATGACCCAAAGTAACCCCAATGACCCACAGTAACCCCAAAATGACCTAAAGTAACCCCAAAAGGCTGGATTTTTGACCTAAAGTAACCCCAAAATTCTCAACAGAGTGTAAGTTTGACCTTTAGTAACCCCAATGACCTAAAATAACCCCAATGACACAGAGTAACCCCAAAGTGACCTGTAATAACCCCAAAATGACCTCAAGTAACCCCAAACTGCTAGATTTTTGACCTAAAGTAACCCCAAAATTTTCTACAGTGTAAGTTTGACCTTTAGTAACCCCAATGACCTAAAGTAACCCCAATGACCCACAGTAACCCCAAAGTGACCTAGAATAACCCCAGAATGACCTAAAGTAACCCCAAAAGGCCAGTTTTTTGACCTAAAGTAACCCCAAAATTCTCAGCAGAGAGTAAGTTTGACCTTTAGTAACCCCAATGACCTAAAGTAACCCCAATGACCCAGAGTAACCCTAAAATGACCTGGAATAACCCCAAAATGACCCGGAGTAACCCCAAAAGGCTGGATTTTTGACCTAAAGTAACCCCAAAATTCTCAGCAGAGAGTAAATTTGACCTTTAGTAACCCCAATGACCTAAAGTAACCCTAATGACCAAGAGTAACCCCAAAATGACCTGAAGTAACCCCAAAAGGCTGGATTTTTGACCTAAAGTAACCCCAAAATTTTCTGTTGAGAGTAAGTTTGACCTTTAGTAACCCCAATGACCTAAAGTAACCCCAACGACCCAGAGTAACCCCAAAATGACCTCAAATAACCCCAAAGTGACCTAGAATAACCCCAAAAGGTAATTGGTTGACCTGAAGTGACTCCAAAGGCCTCTGTTAAAATGCATTTTCCCACAATTAAACCTCCCATCTATTGAGCTTTTTGGGGTTTCTTCAGGTCATTTTGGGGTTACTCTGGGTCATTGGGGTTATTTTAGGTCATTGGGGTTACTAAAGGTCAAACTTACTCTCTACTGAGAATTTTGGGGTTACTTTAGGTCAAAAAAATTGCATTTTGGGGTTACTCTAGGTCATTTTGGGGTTACTGTGGGTCATTGGGGTTACTTTAGGTTATTGGGGTTACTAAAGGTCAAACTTACTCTCTGCTGAAAATTTTGGGGTTACTTTAGGTCAAAAATCCAGCCTTTTGGGGTTACTCCAGGTCATTTTGGGGTTACTCCAGGTCATTTTGGGGTTACTCTGGATCATTGGGGTTACTTTAGGTCATTGGGGTTACTAAAGGTCAAACTTACACTCTGCAGAAAATTTTGGGGTTACTTTAGGTCAAAAATCTGGCCTTTTGGGGTTACTTTAGGTCATTTTGGGGTTACTCTGGGTCATTCTGGGGTTACTGTGGGTCATTGGGGTTACTTTAGGTCATTTTTGGGTTACTGCAGGTCACACTCTCTGCAGAGCACTTTAGGATTATTATAGGTCATTTGGGTTATTTGAGGTCAACTAATTAGTATTTTGGGGTTAGAGGTGCTCCCCGTGTTTCAGTTTTATTTGGAGATGATAAAACTGGTGTTTATCTGGGGCAGAACAATCCAAGCTCTGCTGCTCTGTCTCCTCTGGCCTGTCCAGCTGAACCTCAGTGTCCCTCTGTCCCTCCAGACCTTCCCCCACAGCAGCTGCACATTTTGGGGTTGTATTTAAAACAAACACACCGACACAGTTTGAAAGTTTAAAGCTGCCTTTATTAGACTGACAGTCACTACCAGCACACATTATCAGCCAGGCTTAGGCTTTATCCATCACCATCACACATGCAAATAATTAGTCTTTAATGAACTTGGCCTAGATTAGCCACAAGGGAGTGCTGGTACATGGGGGGCAGTGGTTGTGTGGTTTGGGAAAGAAGGGGAGAGAACATCTTGGTGAGGGAAGCAGGGGTGAAGTAGGATATTTCCATGGTTTTTTTTCTCAGTATTTAATGGTGTTTTCTTCTTCTTCTTCCTCAGAAAGGAGAGGTCACAGCTCCTCTCCTCTTCACTGAGTTCATTTTCTGCAACCAGGACTTGCCTCGTGGGGTTTTTTCCTCCCAGTATGTTCCTGTTGTTACTTTGGCCTCACCAAGTCTCTTCTCTACCCAGTTACAGGTGGTAAGTATTTACTTCTACTTGTTTCCTCTGTTCCCAGGTGCAATTGTCTCCCTCTTATTCTGTGTATTTTCTACGTGTATTTTTCCACAGCTCTTTATTCTGTGTACATTCTGATCCAGCTCTCCACCATCCCTGCTCCTCAAAACCACTGCCAAGTGTCTGTCTGGAACACCCAGTCCTGAGAACTCTGCTTTTTTTGAGGCAAGACGGAAAAGTCAGTCACTGCATAAATATGCATTAACTCCTGGGATATACTTTCCTTGTCTAAGCCCAGCTAACAGCACATTCCAACTGCCAGGTTAACAGTTGTGGCATCAAAATGGGTTTTTCCAATGGGAAAAAAGTTAGTCCTGCCCTTGACTGACTCCTCCCTGATATGATTATAAACAGTAATTGGTGATTATTAAATGTTTCATCTTGTTTGAGTCAGCCTGAATTCATGTCCACTCCCTTGAAAGAGAGTTTCAATAGAAGCAATTTGTCAGGATAAGCTCTGAGTCCTTGAGATAAGTAGATATATAAAATATATATATTATATATATATATTATATATATATATAAATAATATATACAGTTTGTCAGGATAAGCTCTGGGTATATCTATAAACATAAATATAAATATAAATTTATATAAATATAACAGATAAATATAATAGATATAAATTATATAAATAAATAAAATATATATTTTATATATATCTACATTAAAACATACACTTTAAAAAATACATATACTTTGAAATATATATATATACTTTATATATATATAAATATATATATACATTTAAGTGTTTCAATACATCCTACAAAGAATCTCCCACCCATTAATGTTCCATACAAGAGAAAGGTTGAAATGTGACCTTGGTCCAGACAATTTCAGCTCCTTCCACTGTTTAAATCAGCTTCAATATGCTGTTGTTTCACCCTTGTTGTTTCACCCTTGTTGTTTCACTATGTCTCCTTAAGGATTAAGGAACAATAAGAGGCTGCAAAAGAAAACATGCATAGTTAGAATATTTAGTTTAGCAGAGTTTGGGTATTTTTATTTTATTTTTCCTTTTTAAACGCAGATGGAGTATTTGAAATTCTAGAATTCCAGGTTACAACATCCCAGTTGAGCCACCATGGTCAGATCCACCCCAGGTCACCTAACAGCTGCTAATTACGCTGCTGTGTATGATTAGGTTGATTTTGAAATAGTAAATTACAACCTGAAGAGCTTAAGATCAAAGAGAGATTGAAATCCAAGAAGCTGCTTTACAGTCGGGAGTTCGAGTAACAAAACCAGCTTTGCCTCTGGGTGAAGGCAGGATGCTACAGAGCAGTGTCTGAAAGGCTGGCAGAGATGGGATATTCGGGAGAAATCCTTCCCTGGGAGGGTGGGGAGGCCCTGGCACAGGTTGCCCAGAGAAGCTGGGGCTGCCCCATCCCTGGAAGTGTCCAAAATCAGGTTGGATGGGGCTTGGAGCAACCTGGGAGAGTGGGAGGTGACCCTGCCCATGGCAGGGGGTGGAACAAGATGGGTGGAACCTGCTCTGTGATTCTATTAAGTCACGCAAAGGGTTGAGTCAGACTTTGGCCAGGTCAGTGCAATCCCCAAAAACAGGTGCTCTGCCCATCACCACTGCTTGGACATCTGTTAAAAACCTATAAAAAACAACAAAAAAATCATTAACATCATCACAACCCATTTGTACCCCCCACCACACCACTCTGCTACTAAATAAGCAACTTGGTTACCTACCTATTTACCAGCCATCCCCACCAAGGGCCAGCCAGCACCACTCAGCTGCCTCCAGCGCCCAGGAGATCCTCTCCATCATCAACTCCATGGGTTGTCCCACCCCAGACAGAGAGTGGGCAACCTCTGCAAACACACAGGCTCTTGGGCAACAGGGTCAGCTACCTCAGGTACAGGCACATCCATGCTCCTCATCATCCTTTGGCCACAGAGTTCATTTATTGATGCCAAGATAGAGGGCAAGAGACGAGGGCAAGGGGGGAAGAGGGGTAAAAAAACTGAAGAGAGAGCCAGGAGACCTGGAGAGCAAAAAGGGAGATACAGAAGGGATGGGGAGAGGGCAAAGAGGCAGAGGGCAGAGAGAGCAGAGGGCAAATGTGGAGACAGCACAGAGGGCAAGCAAAGAGGCAGAGAGACAGCAGATGCAGCAGAGTGAGCACTGAGAGGGAGCAGACAGCAGAGAGGGGTGGCAGAGAAGCACAGAGCAGCATAAGAGAGCAGAGAGTGAGCAGAGTGTGAGCACCAAGAGAGGGGGACACAGAGAGAGAGGGAGCAGGGCAGAGAGGAGAGGCACAAACAGGGAGCAGAGACCAAGCAGAGAGTGAAGAGGCACAAGGAGTGAGGGAGCACAGAGAGAGGAGGGAATGAGGCAGCAGAGAGGCAGTGAGAGGGAGAAAAGAGGGATGAAGGAGAGAACTGAGAGCTAAAACACAGAGGGCATGAGGTGCAGAGGGCAAGGAGAGTCCACAACACCCTGCTAGCCACCTCTCCCCTTGAGGCAAGGGGAACCAGCTGCCCTCCTCCTGCCCCAAAACCCATCTCCTCTGCACCTTCAGCCCTGCATCCCAGCCCATCTCATGGCAAACCTGCCCCAACCCAGACCCTCAGCTCTGCTGTGCCCCCTTTGCAGCCTCTGCCTGGCAACCCAAAACCCTCCCCACCCTCCCAGGGACTCGTTCCCTCCCCAGAGCCCTTCCAGGCCCAGCTGCCTCTCCCGGTCCTGGCCACCACCACACGGGACCACGGCGCTTACCAAGGGTTACAACACTTTTTATTCCCACGCAGCCGTTTCACAGAGTACAAACACAAGACAAGACACCAACACAGCCCCCCCACACCCACCAGCACCCCAAGGCTGCTCCACCAGGCACCCCAATGCTGCTGCCCTGTGCAAGCAGACCCCAACCCTGCTCCGACCCTCAAACAACTCTGCCGCGGCCCATCACAAAAACACAGCAGGGAATTCCACCCCCCCATTTCCCTGGCTCTTGCTCCTGCCCACCAGAAAGCACCTCTTTCCAAATATTGAGACTGACTTGTCAGCACTGCAGCACAAAACCAAGACTTCCAGAGCCCTGGGGATGAGTTTGGCTCTCCAGCACACACCTCAGCACCCGAGAGCCAGAGGGTGACACGGTCCCAAGGTGTCACAACATCCAGTGGTGACAATGCACTGCTCTGGCCCACAGCCTGTGCCCCAACACCTACCTCTGGCTGAGTCCATAAGCTCCCAAAACCCTGATGGCAGCTCCCAAGGACTGTGGAGACCCACAGCTGTCCGTGCAAAGGGACACACGCTCTGGCCTGTCCCACACTACTGACAGCAGTGAGGGCCACCTACAGTGCAGCTGTAAGGGAAAGCCTGGGGAAAAGTTGCAAAAACCCCTCCTTGAGTCCACATCAGTGATAGAAACCTGTAAAAAAAACCCCAAAGCACAGTCCCACGGGCAGACATCCAGCTCTGTCTTGCCGTTGCTGCCGCTGTGCCCGCCACGTGCCACCTTCACGTCCGAGCTCTCTCCGGGTCACATCCCTCTTCTCTCCTCACAGCAGAGGGTTGGAGGCAGCGTGGCCACTGTGGGGGGGCTGTCTCCTACCCTACAAAGACTCAGGCTGACGCGAGAACAGTTTTTGGCGGGGCGGCAGAGCCGCGCCTACGAGGTCAGGTCCCGCAGAGCACGCGCAGCCACAGCCACAGCTGGGCCACCACCAGAGGGGTCACTTGGGCACGGTGCTCCCCTGAAGAGCTGGAGGCTGCCAACACAACGAGATCCATGTGAGCTGGGGCCCTGGCACGTGTGCAGTGTGCACCTCCCTCCCCGACATGCTGAGTGCCCCTCAAATCATGCCAGTCCTGCACCCTCCCAGTGCCTGATCTCATTGCTGGGCCCCCCTCCCACGAGCCCCCACACTCTACCCATGGCATCTACTCTACCCTGCACCACGCTGTACGCTATCATCACCCTCGCCAGCTCTTCAGAATCTGCCAGCATTGGCCCTGCAGCCCTCAGGTGCCAGGAAGAGCACACATCTGGCTCCCTGCCCTCTACATCCTTCCTGCCTGCAACATACCACACCTTTCAGCCACCTTCCCCGTGCTGCTCTCCCCTACAGCCCCTCGGCTCGGGCGTGGAAGCCCCTGCTCTGCCTGCCCCAAGCCTGGTACTTGCCCCTGCAGCTCTTGCCGTCCCCTTGCAGTGTCCCTGTCACGCAGCTGCACAGGGGTCCGTCCGCCCGGCTCGTGCAGATCTGCTCACAGCCCCCGTTGTCCTCGCACCAGTCCGACCCTGGGCACACACAGCAAAGGGGGACACCTGAGCAACGCTCCCAGACCCCAGTCCTTGGCTGCCTAGGACTGGGATGGCAGGCAACCCCCACCCAGCCTTCCCTGGGGTCGCACACTTACGCTTCCTCCTGATAGGCCCCACTGAGAGGATCTGCTCCTTGGACTCCTCGGCGAACGCGCTGGCCATCCTCGTGTGCTGGGGGCAGTTCTATTCGGGGATAAATGCCACCTCTGTCACCCTCAGCCCCTGCCTGGGCCCTCTCTGTGCCCCTCAGTCCAGCCCAGCTTCCAAAGGGACTTTCCAACCATGCTCAGGTCTCTGCCCATGGCAGAGCCTCTCCCCACACAACCCTCCCAGTCTCACCCCCGGGGCTACATCTCTGGTCACCTCTCTGACGTCACATCAACCGGGCTTGCTGCACTCCCACACAGCCCTTCAAATCAAGCAACCTGGCCCCCTCTGCTCTTGTCCCACTTACTATTTTGCAGGAGTATTTCTCCGAGTCGCAGAGTGAGACGGCGCAGTGCAGGTGAACCTCGTCGTAGTCCCCGATGAACTTGAACACGGTGACGTGGAAGCGACACGTCAAGGACACCCCGTTCTCCTCGATGCCAATGGTGTTGTCCTTTATGTTTTGGCACCTGTGCAAAGCACTGATGCTCACCACGACCCTCCCATGACCAGGATCCTCCCTCAAGGGATCACTCTCCCCTGTCCCTGTAAGGCCCCCTCAGCCTGAGTCCCACAGTGGTGTGTTTGTCTGGACAGAGATGCCATGCCCTGCCTCTGTAACCTCCCTCTGGCACTTCCAACTTCATTGTACTCCCACTTCCTAAAATGCCTGTGCCATGATCCATATCCCCCTGTCTCCTACAGACATCCCATTGCCCATTATCAACACAAGGAAGGTCACTTCTCTCCACATCTGGGACTCTGTCACACACAGGACTTGTGGCCACCTCCACTCTAAGCAAATTAATCCCGCCCTAACAGCACTGGCTGCCCTGTTCCCCACCCTTTCCAGACCTTGATCACCAGCCAAAAATCCAAAACTGATGCCACCACCCCTTCGAGCACCCTCTCCAGCAGACACCATGGAAACCAAGAGGTCGTGCCGGCCCCTGGTCACTCACCCTCCCTCGATGATGAAGTAGCGCAGCTTGTCGTTGCTGTCCCGCGAGGGGGTCGCGTAGCACTTGTTCAGCATCAGGATCAAGTGGTTGGAGTCGGCCCCGACCACAAAGACCCCCACATAGAGCACATCCCGGGTGGTGAGCACCACCTCGCCCTGCCGGTAAGGGTGCTTGTAGGACGAGTTCTTGTACAGGGCCATCTTGGTGGTGAAGCTCCCCTCCTGCGTCGGCACCGTCAGGTTGATCACACTAACGATGACACAAAAAACACTGGCTCAGATGGAGGAGAGGCTGTGAGCCCCCAGACTGGTGCATTGCTTTGGAGCTCTTGTTGCCTCCCCCTCCACCTGTGCAATTGGCCTTGGCTCCTACCTGAGCATCGGCCTCACAACTGAATCCAGGGAGATCTTGATGTCCAGCTCATAGGCACAGGAGAACTCCACGTTGATGGTCCGGTCCCGGGTGATGATGTTGCCTGTGTTGTTTGCACTCTCGATCCACACCGTGTTCTTGTACACTATGTGTGTGCTGTTGGACTGCAGAGGGAACACAGGGCATTGCTTGAGACCAGCCATCTCCTCCCCTGCTCCTACAGACACTTGGCCTCTAAACAAGCTGTGTGACACTAAGGGTCCTGCTGCCACTCCACTGCCCCTGGCCAGAATGGTGGGGCGAGGAACCACAAGGCAGAGTCCTTACTCCACAAGACCTATCTCTGTTCTCCTTCTATCCCTGAGTGGAGCCTCAGCCCATGCAAGCAGCTCCCAAGCATCGCTCGCATCCATGTGTGGCCCTGCCCCAACCCTGGTGTCAAGCTGGGCTGCTGTGGAGGACTGGCCCCCACTCCCAGTTCTCCACGCCCCATGTCCCAGCTCACCTGCACCAGGTTGCCACAGTTGCCCTTGGTGTTGTTGATCTGGAAGGAGATGAAGTCCTCCCCTTCGATGCCGGGGCAGTGGCGGTCATTGACCCGCACCCCCTCACGCTCAAAGCCCAGCTGGAACAGTTTGCACTTGGAAATGGACACCTCCATTTGGGCGGCTTTGCAGGTCACCTCCGCATCAATGATGTCGTGGGTGGCTGGAGGAGAAGATGAGACAAGTTCAGATCACCACCAGCACTGCTCCCCACCACCAGAAATGGGCTGGGATTGTCTCCTGTGGTGCGCCCTGCCTGTCCTACATCCCTGCTCAAAGCACTCCCAAGCCAGAGATGCCCATAACAAGCACCCCAAAAAACCCCTTCCCCGGGTTCCCTGTTCCTCCTCCTGTTCTGACCTGCGAAAAGTCATGAAACCCCAGAGTCCCAGCCCTCAGCACCTCCCTTCCCACAGCCCCAGCAGTACAATAGCCCAGCACACCACTGAGGACCAACCCCACAGCCAGGGCACTCACTGTTCCCATAGGGCGGGGGCTCGATGCAGCCACACAGCTCCCCGCCGTTGTCCAGCTCGCACGTGCGGTTGGGGCAGTCGGCGCCCACGCAGGGATCTTCCACCACTCCTGCTAAACAGCACAAGGCAGAGCACAGACAGGACCTTCACCCTCGGAGCACAGGGCAGGCACCTCTCTGCAACCCCCCTCCCCTCAACCCAGCCGGCCCCTGGCTGTCTTACAGCAATTCTCCTTCTCGATCCACTCGGTGCCCAGGATGCCGAAGGTGCGGCAGGCCTCCCCGTAGGCAGCCAGCGAGCCGCACAGCTGGACCTTCTTGTGGTTGTAGCAGCCGTCCAGAAAGCAGGACTCGTAAAAGGGCAGCGGGTCCAGGAGGCCGTAGCAGGGCTGGAAGAAGCCCTTCATGTCCGTCAGCTTCAGGCAGTAGCTGTCGCTCTGCAGCTCCTGGATCTGGACGTTGTCGCAGGAAGCGGCGTATTGCGAGTACTGCAGCTCGTTGCAGCTGTGGGCACCGGACACATGGCAGGGGGCTCGTGTGGCCAGCTCTGCTCCCGCTCCCGCTCCGTGGGAAGGGCTGCCCGACCACTCACCTCTTCTGCATGCCGTTGGTTTTCCAGCTCTGGGCCAGCACCACGCTGCTGACCGCCGGCTTCCCCCGCAGCGTCGCGTAGTCGTCCGTCCGGTCGCCGTTGAAGTTGCCGCAGAGGCCGCACACCTTGTTCTGCAGCCGCTCCCCAATGGTGATCTTGATGACGTTGAAGCCGTTGTAGCGGATCTGGATGTCCGGGCTGGAGTCGATGACCAGGAAGCCCTCCTGGCTGAAGATCTTGGTGGAAAGCCCCGTGACGAAGGGGATGCTCACCTGGCTGCCGTTCACCTGGAGCAAGGGAGGACACGGAGTAGATCCCCCTCCTGTATCCTCTGCTTATGGATGTGCGTGTGAGCCACCCGAAAATGGTTCCACTAATGCCTCCCACCATCTCAGCTGTGAGAACAACAACAGTTGTCTAAGGCCCTTGTGGAGACTATTGTGAGTGCCTGAGTGCCATCTCAGTCTATTTGGAAGTTGGTATCCCACTCCATTTGGGACTCAGCACCCTGCTCCCCAGCCCATGGAAGGAGTGGACACCCCTGACGAGACCTTACCTTGACAGTGTTCCTGTCACTGATGAGGATCTGCTCCTCGTTGATGTAGAAGTACACGGGGGAGATGATGGTGAGGTTGGGTGAGGACCACTTGTCGAAGTTGATGATGAGCTGGAAGGAGAAGTCGGGCAGCTTCTGGCAGATGGTGGAGAGGACGAAGGCGCAGTTGGCGGGGAAGCGGAGGAAGGCGCCGTCGAAGGTGCGGAACACGCCCCCTCCCGCCGCCAGGCAGAAGGAGCTGCGGGTGCTGAAGCAGCCGCGGACGCCGTTGCGCAGGGCACACTCCTCGTCCGACTTGCAGTGCCGAGGGTCGCACTGGATCAGGTTGCGCCGGAAGCAGCGGCACCGGCGGGTGCAGTCCCCGTTCCAGAAGAGCTGCTTGGGCTGAAAGAGAAGCGCAGGATCACAGGATCACAGAATCAACCAGGGTGGAAAAGACCTCTGAGATCAACGAGTCCAACCAATGACCTAATACCACCTTGTCAACTAGACCATGGCACGGATGCTACATCCAGTCTCTTCTTAAATACCTCCAGGGACTCCTCACTCCAGGGATCCCTGCCCTGCCCTCTGGGGGACAAGGTTTACACCCCTCTGCTGCACAACAAGCAAGAGTGGGCAATGAGGACAGACAAAAAGGTGCCAAGAACAGCTTGCACCTACCTTGCAACATCTCTGCTATCCACAGACATGAGGCAGCTGCACGTCTGCACTGCCATCACAACCTTCCTCACCTCTTGTACACACACAGTGCTAAACACCTCCCTGACCTCTTTCTTGCACTCTGCTGGCCACCAACCCACCTGTTAGTACTCCAGTACCCCCACCAGAGTTCTTGACATGGCAGCCCAGTGTGTCACCTATTGTCTATCTGCTGAGCCCTGCAACGTGTTTTTCACTTAGGCAATCAAAAGGTTTGATTTTAATATTTAATTCAAGTATTTAATTTAATAATTTAAGGTTTTGATATTTAATACTGGCTCCTTATGGGTGTGGGGCTTGGCAAAGACACCTTACACAGAACAGATTCACTGACACAAAATACAACCTGCTGTAATATGAGCAGTGCTACCAAGCACAGCTCTCTGCTGCATCAAACTCCTGAGTGACATCCAGTAGCTACAAATAAATAAATTTAATGTGAAACGAAAAGTGGAATACCTAGAACAGATGGTTATATAGTACTGGACTTTGGCACTCATCAAAGACAGTCTTCTCAGTCACTACCCTTTCCTCTACCAGTTCTCTCCTGTGCTTGACACCCGGGTCACCCTCACTTAACAACTGTATGATGATTTTTGCAGATAGAAATCATCAGCTGTATGGTGGTTGTTGCTATGCAGCACACCATGGAAGGACATCCCTCTCCTCTCTATCCCTGGTACCAGCCCAGCTTGACTGCCATCCCCTCTCAGGCCCAGAAATATCAGCCAGAGGACGAAAGCAAGCCCTGAGAGAAGGACTGGAGCTGCTCACCTCGTAGTACTTGCCATCGGAGTAGCAGCCACAGTTGTGGGGCAGGATGCAGCTCTTGCCATTGAGGACGTACCCGGGGTCACACTGACACCCCTCCACACAGTAGTGGCTGCAGTCGCTCTTGAGCCGGATGGCGGCACAGCGGGGCTGGCACAGGGACACGCAGCTCTCGTAGTGGCTGTTGGGGGGACAGCTGACAGCTGAGAGAGGACAAAACACACTCAGATTAGCTCCCTGGACCAAACCAACCTGGGTCCCCAAAGGGAACATCTCCGACCTGCCACGCAGGGTTGCCAGTCAGCAGCCTCACCACCCTGTGTGAGCGGTGCCTCTGGGCCATGAGCTTGCTTGTCAGAAGGGAAAACGACACAAATTTAATTTTCAGTCTTGTTAGCAAAGACAATTACTTCCCATCTGATTTGCCAGATAGATTGGCTGCCAGGGAGGCGTGCAGTCCCCAGTCCCCATCCTCAGGAGCCTAATTGAACAGCGCATCACAACCTTATTGACAAGGGGCTGCAGCTTCACTAGAGCAAACACGTACTCCTGCCTTCAAAGCCAGCTAATGTAATTCCTGCTTAACAACAGGGGGATGGCTGATACATCCTGAGCTTGAGGCTTCCCCTTTTCCACCCCTGCTCCTGCTGTACCACGTGCAGTTTGTAAAGAATAGAGTGGCCCAGGTTTGACCCCACACCCAGCACGGGAGGGACCGGCTGCTGGTTGTTAGCACCCCAGAAAAAGAAGGACTTGGAGGCAGGGTGGCACTTACAGCACGAGGTGAAGTTCCTCCAGCCAGTAATGGCAATCCCCTGCGTTTGGCACGTGCTGGCGTAGTTCTGCAGCCAGCTGCAGGCTGTCTGCATGGCTCCCCCATCCACACAGGTGTCAAACAGGCAGTTCTTGTAGAAGAAGCCGGGGTTGATCTTGCTGTGGCACTTGGCAAAGACCCCGCTCTGGCTCGGGATGAGGCTGCAGAGCTGTTGGGGCTTCCAGAAGCCTTCCACCTTCCCGCAGGCCGGGCAGCGGTCGCCGCAGCCCACGCGGCAGAACGTGTCCCTCTTGGCCCAGCTCTGGACAAAGTCGGCGATACTGGTGGCCATTGTGCCACCCGAGGCCACCAGGTCGTCCTCGGGGTTGCCGTTGTAGCGGCCGCAGAGGCCGTAGGTGAGGTTCTGGAAGCCCCGTGGGATGGTGACGGAGAGGAAGGTCTTCCAGTCGTACACCACCTTCAGCCCGAAGTCGGTCTCGACCACGATGTGGAAGCCGAAGGCAAAGATGTTCACTTTGCCCTGGCCCAGCTTCAGGGGCAGGTAGAGACGCTCATCATTGATCTGCAGGGAAGGAAACAAGATGCACTGTGAGTGGGAGTGACAATCACAGCTGCCACAGGATACAAATGGGGGTGGCTTGGCATTCCCAGAGCAAGGTCCCTGTCGGCCTCGCCTCTGCACCCAAAACAAGGCAGCCAAAACACAAACCCCCTCCAAAAGCTGCCTGGCAGCACCCAAGCATCCACACTTCCCAAACCCTGTAAAACCCTGCAGACCATAAAGCCCAGTGCCTAAGAACTCACTCTGTGGTTTGGGAGCCCCACAGGCAGACATAACCACGTCCCTCCTGTCCTGCACTCACCAGCACGGTGTATTTGTAGGCCCGGTGGATGACGATGTTGTAGTTAAAGACCTCCACTTCCACTTGTTTCACCCACAGGGCCAGAGAGGTGTCCCGGTCCTCATTCTTGGCCGTGACAGTGAACGCCGGGAACGTGTCCGAGCGCTCCACCCTGGGCCTGGAGATCGTGGTGCACAGGATCAACTCACAGCTGCTCTGGAAGTCGAAGGAGTAGCCGTCAAAAGTCAGGTAGTGGCCGTAGCCGGAGATGATGCAGGAGGCGTCGGTGCGGGCGTGGCAGTAGTAGAGGCCGTTCTCCTCCAGGCAGTACTCGTCGTCCTTGCAGGAGACATTCTCGCAGTACACGCTGTTGTCGGAGCCGTTGCAGTAGCAGAGGAAGTGGCAGGAGATGTCCATCCAGAAGGTCTGGTTGGTGGCCAGCTGCCGCCCCTCGAAGCTGCAGCCGCACTCCCCGCGCGGGATGCAGCGGGCGCCGCGCAGGGCGAAGCCCTCGTCGCACTGGCAGCCCTCGGTGCAGGTGTCTGTGCACACGGGGCCCGAGGCCAGGCTCTCACAGGTCTCCACGCAGCTCATGCACTCCTCAAAGTGGCTGTTCTCCGGGCAGGCCAGAGCTGCAGGGTCGGCAAACAGAGAGCGTGAGCCCCACGGGGTGAGGGACAGGCAAAAAGTGGGAATGGGGTGAGTGGGGACTGATTCAGGGGGAAAGAAGCCAGAGGGGAAACAATCCCAGCACCTTGCTGGCCATTGTCTCTCCCAATTTCTTTTGCAACCCCTTCTCCTCTCAGCCATCACTGCCCTCACATCAGAGTCCTGTCCTGCCACATGCCAAAAGACACCTCGTCCTGCTATTTTCACAGAATATCCTGAGCTGGAAGGGACCCACAAGAATCATCGAGTCCAACTCCTGACCCTGCACAGGATCATCCCCCAGAGTCACACACCCTGTGCCTGAGAGGATCATCCAAATGCTTCTTGAGCTCTGGCAGCCTTTGTGCTGTGCCCACTGCCCTGGGGAGCCTGTTCAGTGCCCAAGCACCCCCTGGGGGAAGAACCTTTTTCTAATACTCAACCTAAAAGGACAGAGCTCCCAAACAGGCACCTCCCTGAAACCTCTGAGGCAGAGACAGGCACTGCCTTCCCACCATTTACTTCCATACCAGGGATTTTTCACATTTGCTTCTTCTGAATTATGAATGTTCTCCTACCAACAGCAAGTTTAAAGAGCCAGCTAAAAACCAGTGTTATGCAAATTATCCTCTGGTGGTGGCACACAGCACCTCCATCTGCGGCTCCAGAACGCTCCTGCACCACATCATAAAACTTCTGCTGCCTCCCGAAATGCCACCCTGAAATCACTTTGCTGTGAAATGTGTCTCTGCTGGCTCCAGCACGCTCAGAAACTACTGCTGTAATTTCACCACCCCTTAAGAAACCCGCTCCACCTCTGCACACCCACAAATTCCCAACAAAAAGACTCTGCCTCTGGTGGGTTCAAAAATCCCTTTCTCCCCACGCTGGGTACTTCAAGGCTTTGGTGGACTCACGGCAGAAGCTGTGGCTCCTCCACTGGCCGATGTCCACGTCGGCGTTCTTGCAGGCGCTGGCGTAGCGTGCCACCGAGTCACACAGCTCTGACACGTTGCCCCCGCTCTGGCAGAGGCGGAAGAGGCACGTCCTGTAGTAGGCTGAGACATTGACCACGCTGTGGCACTCCAGGAAGGAGCTGTTGGTGGGGTCGTTGATGATGCCGCAGTTGGAGCGGCTCCGGTAGGACTTGAGCAGCTCTGAGTCGTTGTTGCAGGCCATGAGGAGGTCCCCGCACTCCCCGTTGCAGATCTCGTCAAAGGTGGTCCAGCTCTCCAGGAAGAGCTCCAGGTTGTCCGTGAATTTGCCCGTGGGCAGGTTGAACTCATCGCTGGCGTTGCCGTTGAAGAGGCCGCAGAGGCCCCCGGTGCAGTTGAAGTAGGAGGTGGAGAGGCGGATCTCCAGGAGCCCAGAGCCGTAGTAGCTGATGGCCAGGAGCCCCTCTGACTCCAGCACGGTGCCATTGTCACCACGGTAGATTTCCAGGCGTCCAGAGGGGTGGAAATAGGGCAGCTCCACGTCATAACCATTCACCTACAAGGAACAAGCAGATGGAGACGCTTCAGGGAGGATGATGTGATTTTTCCTGCCATGCTGAGTACACTAAACACCTCTGACCCTGACCCACCCTCCAAGACCCAGAGCGTCCTCTGAGTGAGGGCATACGGCTGTTTCCTTGCTTTTTGCCCCCAGACAGAGTGTGTTTTTCCAGGGAAAACAAACAAGTTGCAGGAGACAACTGACTCAGCAAACAGGAATAGTGGTGCTGTGGCAACAACCTCAGAGCCCTCACACGGTGATGGTTCACTTGGGCTTCCCCCAAGTGCCACCGCGGTGTCTGGTCCACAGCAACAGACCCACGAGCCCTTCTCCAAGGGGACAGGGATCACACCACAAACCACCACGTCCCACCCCGGCCCTGGGTAGCACCTTTACCTTAATGTCTGACAGGCGGGTGCCTCCAATCTTCACCTCCTGGCCGGCTGCCTGGACCCGCACCACGCGCGGCCCGCTGGGAGCAGATCCCACCTTCTTCTGGCTGATGTCCACCTCGATGAAGTCTGGCCTCTCCAGGCAGGTTTTGAGCAGCGTGTAGGACTGTTCCAGCGGGTAGGGGAAGGTGATGCCATCGAACGTCTGCAGCACCTGGCTCTGCCCCACCAAGCACACGGTCTCCCGCTGGGGGAAGCACCCGCGGTGGCCGCCCTCGATGGTGCAGATCTCTCCCTCGGGGCAGGTGGTGTTGAAGCACTTGGCCTCCCCTCCATCCTCGCACTGGCACTGCACCGTGCAGTCCGTGGATGCCCAGAAGGACTCCCCGATGGGGTAGTACCGCCCGTCCACGTCGCAGCCGCACTGCGGGGCGGGCACGCAGCGGTCCCGGCTCAGCACGTGGCCCTCGTCGCACTCGCAGCCCTCGGTGCAGGGGGAGGCACAGGCCAGCGGGGCTGTGAGGTCTGAGCACGTGGCAGGGCAGCTGCTGGCACACACGGAGTAGTGGCTGAGCTCCGGGCACTGCACGGCCGTCGCTGTGGGGCAGAGGGGACACAAACAGGGGGACCATAATTATGGCACAGCTCAGGGCCAATTACCCTGTTCCTGTTGACCCACAGCAGAGACAACACACAGAGACCCGTGAGCTCCATTTTGATGGTAGGATTGGCCCCTCCATTCCCTTTCTGTGTTTCCCTGGCCATTCCTGTCACATAAGAGGGGCCTCTCCAAAACCACTCCAGAACCACCAAACTGCCTGCAGCTATTTGAGGAGGATGGGCTGAGAAGTGTGCCCTCAGCCTGTCCCTGTCCCAGTCCAACCTCCTTCTCTCACCATGGCAGTTGACTGTCTGCAGAGAAACGTGGAGCTCCCACCTCACACCTGACTTCCACCACCTTTTTGCTGGAGCAAGAGCCTGATGCCCTGGAAAGGGACTGATCCATTTTCCTCTGACTCCCTCCAACAACTCCCTCCCTTGGAATTCTTTCCCCTCATCTGGGCACGGAGGCAAACCCCTGAAATCACTCCTCTCCTCCAGAGGGGAAGGCTCCCAGCACAAGCACATAAACACTCACCACACCCCGTCTGTGTCCGCCACTCTCCCACCGAGATGCCCAGGGACTGGCACACCGTGGCATATGCCTGGATGGCCTGGCACAGCCCAGTGCCATTATCCCTCGGCACAGGGGCGCTGCAGAGGTCATAGACACAGCTGTGGATGAAGGCAGTGGGGTCCACGACCGAGCTGCACTCCCAGAGGGGGCCCCCAGTCTTGTTGATGAAGCCGCAGTACTCGGGGGTGAAATACAGGGACTCGGTGGCGGCGTCGCAGAGGCTGCAGTTTTCCAAGCAGCCCGTGGAGCATCTCCTCTCGGGATGTGGCACTTGCCAGCTCTCTCCCAGCTCTGGCACGGACGTGGCCAACCTCCCATCTGAGCGGAGGATATCGTCCTCAGGGTCTTTGTTGTAATTCCCACACAGACCGCACGTGGCATTAATGTATGAGCCCGGCACGGAGACAGAGGCGTAGTGTTCTCCATCAAAGGTCACCAGCAGGCCAAAGTCAGTCTCCAGGGCAGTGGACAGGCCACTTTGGTAGACTTTGACTGCACCCAGTTCCAGAGAGATGGGCAGGGACACCACCAGGTCATCCACCTGCGGGGACAACACCAGGAGGCTGAGCCAGCGCAGGAAATAGCAGAGCTCTCATACTGGGACACAGCCACGTTATGGTGTCCTAGGGTTAGGGACACACACAGAAGGGCAGTCATTTGTAAGCCACAGGGCTTTTCCACCATGCCTGTCACCCATGCCCACTCCCCAAGGACACACGAGGCCCAGAAGTGCCATCCCACGCTCTCCAAGCTGTTGTCACAGCCTCACTGCCACCTCAGAGAAGCCAGCCTGGCAAGTTCTCCCCATCCACCAGCAGGGCTCTCACCTTTGCCTTCCCAAAGCCACCCTTGGGGAGAACAATCTTGTGCGAGTAGACCTCCACAAAAATATCCCTGAGCCAGGAGACGGAGGAGCCGCCTCGGTTCTCATTCTTGGCCTCCACGTTGAAGTAGGGCAGGTGGGAGCCTGGCCAGCACTGCCTGGCGAGGAGGTAGGAGCAGGAACCCTGGAAGTGAAAGAGGAAGCCGTCGAAGGTGTGGTAATGAGGATCTCCAAACACCACGCAGGTGCTGCTCTCCACCGGCACGCACTGGAAGAACCTGGCCTTGCTCTCACACGCCTCAAAGGGGCCGCAAGCCACCTCCTGGCAGAGGATCTCATTGCCGAAGTCCAGGCAGCGGCACTTGGTGCTGCAGTTGGCGTTGTCCCAAAAGATCTCCCCTTGGCGGAGAAACTGCCCTAGAAAGACAGAAAGGGGAAAAACCCACGCTACATCACTTCTCCAGACAGAGAGGCCAAGTGCACCACGTCACCTCAGAGGGGTCTGCTGGCCCCGTGGGCAAGACCACCACACCAAAGTGTCTTGCCACTGGGCTTCTCGGCTGCTTTCTTTGTGCAAACTCCCAGCAAGTGCCATTCAGCAAAGTGCTGCAATCCCAAGCTTTGTTTTCAGTGCATGGTCCGTCCTCTTCAAGTCCATGGAAAGCTGAGGGCGCTGTCACAAATCCAGGGCGAGCGCTGCAACACACAGGCTGGAAAACTTGAAGGCTATTCCCTACATTTTGGACACCCACAACTCTCACTCTGCCTCAGTACTGCAGGGCACAAGTGCTATTTGTGCTCTTTTCCCAAAAGGAAAGTCCACTGGTAAAGCTGATGCCTTTTGGAGGCCGTTCCCAGCACTGTTGCTGCACTTGTGCTGTCCTTCAGCATTTTGCCACCTCCATCATTGCCCTGTCCACACCACTTTGCTGGTCAAAGTGTGACTCTGCCACCAGCAGCCCTGGAGCAATTTACTCCCATTCAGAAAGAGCTCGTAGTGGTTAGGAAACCAAAAGAGCTGTTGATAAGTAACTTCCACACCACACCCCAGCCACAACGGGAGCGCTGAGTGATCCCGCAGACTGAGCAGAGTGGCACTATAAAGGGAGGCAGGTTTGTCTGGTGAGAGACGTGAGAGGCTGAGAGAAGACAGGAGAACAAGGGTGGCAAGTACCCGGGAGAGTTTCTCTCTCCTCCATCTGGCCATCTTTCACACTTCTCAGCCGCGTGGCTCCCGCTGTGCGCTGCCTGAATTTACCTCTTCCCTGCAACAAATGTCTCCTCTTAGCAAGACCCACATGCCAGCCATCCTTGGTGTGGGGGATTTGGGAAAGGAGTGTCATAAGGCTCTGACACCTCGTGCTGCGTCTCCTCTCATAAAGGGCAATCAGACATTCAGTGTGAAATTTAAATCCAGTGGTGGGATTTACTCACACTCCCCCATCACCTGCAAACCCAAGATGCCTTCCAGCCCCTTTGCAAAGTCCAGCCTTTTCCTCCTGGGGTCAGCAGCTGGAAGGGGATGGAGCAGCTGGATCTAAAACTCTGCTGTGGCTGCAAGAGCCTCGGAGCCTTCTTGGTACAGTCCTAAACCGGGACATAGAGAAGCCTCATGTCCCCAGCATCCACTCACAAATGACAATCCTCTCTTGCTGGAAAGACTCCTGGAGCACTGTGGAGGCTCCTGACAGTTTTATTTGTCAAATGGCAACACAGCAATCTCTGTGCAGCAAAGTCCCTGTGCAGTCACTGTGTGCATTGATTAATGCGTTTATAGCCCCGTGCTCTGTGTGACACAGGCACAGGCTCTGCACAGGGAAAACCTGCTCTTCCTCCTGCAGAAACAAGGGAAATGGGACCACAAGGCCAGCTTCCCTAATGTGGGGGCCAGAGGAAATTGCTGTCCCCAGGTCTTTCCTGTTGCCACCTGGAATTTGGGTGCAGCAACCAGTGACTGGCACCTACTCTCGTGTTTCTGTCCCCACAGTTGCAGCTTGTGGGGATGCCTTGGCAAAAACACAGCAGCCCAGAGCACTCAACACCTCTCCACCAGCACCCCAACAGCATCACCTTTGGCTACACTGCACCCCAAAATCTGCAAACAAGCAGTGCCATTCCTCCCTTACCTCTCAGGCTGCAGCCATTGGCAGGGTCTATCTCTCTGCCATCTACTTTGAAAGCCCAGCGCCCAGGGACGTTCACGTTGGTTGTCTCTTCGATATTCACAATGTCTGGAGTTCTGGAGCCCGGGAGGCTGAAGAAGTTGGTGAGATTTCCTCCATTGAAACCAGCCTAAAGCAGAGAGAGAGCAAATTCCATCACCCATCTTGGCCACGGGAAAGCGATGCTGCGTTTCCTCACTTCTCTGCCCCCTCCTCTTTAGTTTCAACAGGGTACTACAAGCAGAATGGATGTCTATTTACAGATTTAGGTATGTGTGTATACATATGTTGGTAAATATAGATCTAAGGGGGTATGTATTGAGTGGCCAAGATGAAGTGAGGAAGCAATGCAGGAAAACTCCCCTTATGCAGGAACCTCCCCCCCCAGGCAGATGGAACTGCTGCCATCGCCAGATTTTGGGTGCCCAGCAGCGGGATGCAAGGAGTGCTGGGGACAGTGGGGGACTGAGTGGCATGGGGAAGCATGGACATGTTGGGAAAGCTACAGGCAATCATCCAAGAGTTCAACAGAGACAGGGGCATGGCAGCAAGAGCCTCACCTGGGCCATCACCCCGCCGAGACCAGTCAGGGGGTCCCCTCCACTGGCTGTCCCCGTGGTCCAGCTGATTTCATGGTAGTTAAATATGGCAAAGGAAGACACTCCATCTGAGATCAGGACAGCTTGGAAAGTGTTCACCTGTGGAAAACCAGGAGCACATTTCACGAGGTGACACTGCTTTTCTCGCGCTGTTTGCCTGTCCTTTCACCACGTTCATCTCCGGCCTGGGCAAGACACAGGAGCCTTGCAGTGAAGAGCTGCAGAAGCTGAATTAGACCCAAAATATGCCTGTGCTTGCTGCCACAACTCCACCAGCTCCTATCCCTGCCCTTTCCTCCACCTGGGAGGACGACAAGTCCGTCTCTGATCCAAGTGAACACCAATAGATGGCAGCATGAGAATGAGCTCACAGGGAAGAGGCAATGGGCAGGATTCGGGTTGCTAAGATCTGTTATCTCCCCTTACCCCATCTCAGCTTTATACCTCACTGCATTATCTTTCTCAGTTCCCTTCCACATCCATACCCTACAATACTGCTAAAGGTGGATTACATCCAAGCCAGCCACGTATATCATGCTCTTTGCTGGCTGCCAAATCCCTTCGCTCCCTGCTAAATCTGCTGCTCATGTTCTTCCTTTCCCTTGAAATGACTCTGCATTTCCAGCCCCCCCAGCTCCAGACACATTCCAGCAGGGCTCCAGGTGGGAAGAGCCCACTTAGCCAGGTGGTGAGGGCAGCATAATCCCCATTTTCCATTTATAGCTGTGTAGAAAGGCAGAAGAAGCCTCTTTCCTTGAGATATTCCCTCTATCCATGCAGATCCAGCAGCAGAGCTCATCGCTGGGAATGAAGTCAATCACTTCTCTCAGCCTTTAGCATTTTCCTGTCCTTCCCACCCCTGCCCTTCCTCTGCACTGGGACCATGCCATGAAAACTGCTCCTCCTGCCTCTGAGCAAGCAGGATTTTAGCAGGGCACTAAGTGTGGGATGCCTCTCTTTTAATTAATCAAGAGCAATACAAGGAGCCTGGTGCTAAACCCACTGGTTTGGTTCTGGGCTCTGAGGATGCCTTGGGACTGCAGAGGGGAGCCCAGGGCTGCACTCACTGCTTGCACACCACAAGGGAGGTCACTTCCAAGGCACATAAAGGCTCCTGCCATGAGGAATCTCGAACACAGAGACAAAGCAGGCTTTAGGAGCTGTCAGGAGAGTGAGAGGTGTGGGCAGAGCAGCCTCCCAGCAGCTGCAAATGGCACAGTTCACACCGGGGCGGGGGGACAGCCACCGTTTCCACTCCTGCATCCTTTCCCTGGGATTCTGCCTCCTACTTCTGGTGTCCCTTGCACACTTTTCTCACCTTGGCCAAGTCTTTTGCCGTGCTGTGAGATCGCTAACACGTCACACATAAAGTCAGGATCACTCTGAGAGTGCAACAGCAGCTTTCTGGTGGGGCAGCAAACCCTGCTCTGCTCAGGGGCCTCTCGGAGAGCGGCAGGAGGTGACCTGGTGCCAGGAGTAAGATGGTTGGAGCTTCCATCACCCCCCAAAATCTCCCCCTTTGGTTCTGATGGCCCCTGAGCACCCTTGCTGCCTCACCAGGCTCTCAGAAACTGAGCTAATGTCAGGTGACATCACGAGACAGCAACTGCAGCGTCCCAGAGGCCACATTCCCCAAATTGTTTTCTGCAGCTTTTCTGCATTGCGATGAATCTCCTGCTTAAGTTGCATCGTGCTGTTCCACGTGCCAACCCCGAGCCCTGGCTGCTGCTGAGCAGGAAGGCTGCTCCACAACGAAATAAATTGCATTGTGTTGCAAATGTAATTCTTCAGGCAATACACGAAGCTCTATATTGCTTCCTGTCTGCAAATAAATATATATGTGGGGTTTTTTTCTGCAAATGCTGCCAGGACTGGCAAAAAATATGCATTAAATCTCGAGTTTCTCTAACAAATGGGAAAGAGCTGGACTGTTTATCAGAGCCAACTCCTCGAGACAGAAGAAACCAGCTTTTGGTACTTGCTAATCCTAAACAAGCCTTGCCCCAAACAATAGCTGGGATCCCTCACTCCCCAAGTGTCCAAGGCCAGGTTGGACAGGGCTTGGAGCAACCTGGTCTAGTGGAAGGTGTCCCTGCCCATGGCAGGGGGTGGGACAGGATGAGCTTTGAGGTTCTTTCCAACTCAAACCATCCTAGGATTGTATCTGCACCCTAAGCCTTCAGCTACCAGGAGTCCAGCACGGATCTCCCAACAGCAGCTGCAGCCACAGCTCACATATTAACCAGATATTTAAAAGCTGTTCATGCCCTAAAAAACCACCACACTGTCATCTCCATCCTCTGAGATACAACTCACATTTTTGGAAACATAATATGGTTGAGTCATGAGTGTGACTCTGGTCAGTCTGACCGTTCTCTCCTGCAGTTGTCATCACAAATATTTGCATTTGTATCTAACAAAAAATAAGCACACTGTGATCAAGCCAAACACTCCTAAGTGGTGTCAGGGCCCTGTTTAGATACACTGCCTGCAAATACCAAAGAGGGGATGCTTTCCCTGGAGATCTGAGAGCAGGGAGCGAGGCTCGTGTGGGCTCCCACGAGACAGAAAGGTGAAAGGACCATGGTGCTTCTCTGCCCAAGGGCAACTGAGGAGCACAATGAAACACAGTCAATTTTACACACAGAAGACAATTATATAACTGATACACAGACACACAGATATACAACCACAGGCACACATTCAACCATCCAGAATCACGCTCTCACCGGCGTCGTGCTGCTCCCCCCGTAGAACGTGACCTCCTCCCAGGTGACGATGAAGACCCAGGTGGCAGAGAAGGAGGCCATGTCCTTGAAGTGCTTGTGGACGTCCTTGGAGGCTCTCCTGAGCAGCCAGGGGTCCGTGCTCTCCCTGTAGTAGACGTCCCCCCGGATGCCGTTGTGCACGTCGGCCCAGAAGGGCGCCACGAAGGCGCGGCCGTCGGCCAGCGGGAAGGCCTCGGGGGTGAACTGGCTGACCAGGGTGTTGAAGGAGATCACCCCGTTGTTGTTCACCTGCACCAAGAGACCCACCCTGCCTGAGCAAGCCTTTGCAGGCAGCAGAAACCCGCTGGTTTCTCAGAAAACGTGGGGTGAGAGGGTTTCCCCTGGAGGCGACTGAGATGGTGACAGTGGGTGAGGCAGCCTGACCACCCAGCCAGAGATTCTGCTTCATCCCACCAGGGGTGGCCAAAGGCTGATGCAGGAAGCCCCAAAAGCATCCCTGAAAAAGCCCCCAAAATCCCTGAAAGGTCTGCAAAACAGGGCTCTACAGGACAACAAAGGAGAGCAGCAATTTGTCCTTGTCTCGGGCACCCACAAAACTGTTGCCCATTTTCCCCCCAGCAGGTCTCTGCATTTTCTTGTTTCTTGTCATGCAACAGGAAAAATGTCCCTCGTGTCAAGCCCTTAGCTTTGCTGTACCATTTAATCACCTACAAAGAAAATTTACTGCCTTTTATATTCCTTTCCCATGAACATTATCCCATTAAATATACCTTTGACTTTCTTAATCATAAAACCTATCAGTTCACGAAATCTAAGAACTTGTCAGGTAGTTGCTAATAAATCTTCCCCTTCCTGATGACAGGGAGAGAGCATTTAAAATACAACCTAATGACAAGGAAAAGAGCCAAGGGAAGGTCTGTTTGTCCACTTACATAAATGCTTCTGTAGGGGACTCCAAAATAGATGAAAGGGACGGAGATCCTGATCTCGGGAGAGCTTCCATCATCAACTTTGGGTGTTCTTGTGTCGTTCTGCCAGAATGGATACAGACTCCCCATGGTGTGAGCTGGAAGGAGAGAGAGAAGAGAGTCCTTCAGGCCATGTCAGGACCTGTTCTGACTTCAGAGAGGCCACAGCAAAGCCACAGCAGAGGTTCCAGCTCTGGGACTGGGACAGGGTCAGGGGAAAAAGCATCATCCAAAGGTTGGTTGGGGCAACAGCAAAGTGACCCCAAGATGCAGGACAGTTGTAGCTTTGCTTTTTGCCTTCCATGTGAGTGCCACCAAGTCATACCCCTCATCTCTCTGCTTCTCATTGGGACAACAAGGACAACAGGTCCATCCCCCCCGCTCCAGGATGGGCAGAACTTGCTGTTTTAGGTGGTGAGGTGTTCAGGGGAGCAAACAGCACCAACCCCAATCCCTGGGACACGTTCCTGGCAGTGTCCACCTCCCTCCTGCCTGCACAGCCCTTCCTGCTGGACCCCAGGGCTCCTGGGGCCGGGTCACAGCCTGAGGTGTCACGGCTGCTTTGAGACTTCCCAGCAAAACATTTCCTGCTAAAAGGCCCTGCCAGGGGACATAACTGTCTCTCCTAAAAATACTTCAGAAGATGGTTTTGACACATCTCATTACAAGCCTGCTGCTTTCTACCAGCCTAAAATCCATTGGTTTGAGGCACAGTCAGGCACTTCTGGTCCCTGGGGACATGTCCCCTCCTGTCTCAGCCCCTGCCAGACCTCTGCTGTCATCTCATGTCCTGTTTCCAGTGTGCTCCTCACAGAGGAAACGGGGATTTTTCTGGGTTTTCCCCTCCCCTCTCCCCTCTTTAGTGTAGAAAAGCCATGCCCTGTCCTGACAACATTCAATCTTGGCCAACACGAGGCCACAGGATCTGAACAATCCCAGCTCTGGATTCAGGATGTGCTTTTACTTCCTGGGCCCGACCCTGTGCTTCCAGGGGCCTCAGATGGGGCCAGTTTGCTCTGTTCCCCACTGTTACAGACACAGGGGGGGCTATCCTGATGCCAAACCCAGGGGATGCTCCTTCCCTGCCATCCTGAGGATGATTCATGCTGGAAATTGCCTTGGAATAAGAAGAATAAATTGAGTCCTTCACAGGCTCAACTGGTCCAATTTTCCCAGGGGAAAAGGAGACAAGGGCAAGCCTGGCCTAACCCACTGGCATCCTGATTTCCTGAGACCTCTGAGTGGCCTGAGTGCCCCACTGGACATAAAGGGAAGTGGCATGTGATGGTTTCACAGATATATCAAAGGGCCACAGCAAAACTTCGGGCTGACAGGTAGTAAAATAAGTCATTTCACAGCTGTTACACACCTGAAAAGTTATTACAGCCAAGGCATAGCTATGAGACACGGATTTTACTGATTTTTAAAACAGGGCACTCAGCAGACACTCCTTAATTCCAGTTCCTTTAGCACTGCTGGGGCCATGCTGCTGTTCCTACTCAGCAGTCCTAACACTGAAATGTTTTCAAACTGATTTTATAGTGACTGGCCAGACCAACACAACCTCTGGAAAGCTCCCACGTGCACACACAGCCATATAAATGATAAACACAAGCATTCCTTAAAATTCCCAGCCTCTCCCTCCCCATGGGAAACACTCAGGTCACCCAGCTGAGGAACTGGGGGTGTTTTCCCAGCCCTCTGGGGTCTCTGGGCACAGCAGAGCTGAGAATTTTGGGCTCCCAGCACTCCAGCAGGAGACACTCACCTCGCTGCCGGGCTGTTATCACCAAAAGGGCCACCCAGGTTCCCAGAAACGATCGTTTGTTCATCCTACAGGAAGGGAAGAAACCCAGACATGCATCACATTGGTAGGAAAACACATCCTTAAGGATCCCCCAAGCCCTGCTGCTTCCTGAAGCCAGGTGGATGTTTCAGAGGTGGAGGCCCCTCACCTGCCAGGCAGACCTGAAATGCCTGTTCCATGGAGTGGTGCAGAGAGAATTCCCTGGTGATAACAGCAAATCACCCGCAGGCACTGCCAAAGGAAGCCCAGAACCACATGGAAGAGCTGCTGCTGGTTTCACATGGATTTTGGAAGCTGTAAATAGCCCCAGCTCTCCGTGGGCTCTTGATTCTCCTGAGGGTTCAAAAGCAATTCCTCCCTGATTTGCTCAGTGCAGGGATGGACACTCCTGCCCAGTTCCAAGGGGAGCAGCTCTGCACTACTCCAAACACAAGAGTTGTGGTGTGCTCTCATGGTTAAGGGGCTTCAGACACCACTTTGACTAATCCTCTGTGCTGGCTCCTACCACAACCACCACTTACTGGTTTGGATGAGCCCAAACATTTCCACAGCTGGGCACCTCCTTGCTGCACAGGAATCAATGGGAGAGAGAGAGAGAGCAGACACAGGGCTGGGAAAATGAAAGAGAAAACCCCGTGCCAGCTTTAATTCCTTCTGTGCCTAATGCAATTTGTTACTCATTATTAATCCAGTGGAAAATATTGCTAAAACACCTGCTTTGATTCCTTCGCCCGTCGAGTCCGTGATTACACACGGGCAGGGCTCACGTCGAGCTCCCAGGAAGGTCCTGTGTGTTCCCAGCGTGTGTGTGCCAGTGGGAAAAGTGCATGATCAGCTTCACACAGCCATTATGCACAGCCTGAGTTTTCAGATCAGCCCCTCCACCTTCCCAGCTCTAAATATCTGTCTGTTAAAGCCAGGGTTGCTTTGTGTCCTCTGTAGATGTGTTTTTACGGCGTTTGTGGATCAGCAGATCCAACACCTTCTAAAGACACATATTTACATAAACAGCACACAGAGCACACAGGGGGAACATCCCATCATCTGTCCCACATCACTTCCACTTGATTCCCACTTCTGGGAGTTTGAAAAGTATGGAACCCAGCAGACAGAAAGTTCCTCCCTGTTCACTGCTGCAGTCACATCAATGCTGGTCCCAGCCTGCTCCCAGCTGCCACATTCTCCATTGACTAGAAATCACTCCACCAAGGAAAAGTTTTGCCACATTCCCTGATTTGGGAAGATGAAAGGAGGATGGCAGGATTGTAAATTCTGTGGATTCATTAGCAGAGAGCGGGCAGAGAGTGACTAGTGGAGATTGTGGCAGCCTGAGGACAAGAGGAAGACTGACACCACTCGGCAAACATGACAGACTTAATAAAGAACACATTATTTAACATATCCCATTGAAAACTGCAATTATTTAGGTATGAAAAAAAAGATTACCAACCTGTTTGTGGACTAGAGGAGCGATGAGGTCTGAAATTTTAGACCAATCTTGGTGGAGCAGGGTAGAGTCCTATGTCAATGGAGAATGCATGCCGGTCCTCCCGTGCCAATCCTTGCTGGGGACTGAAAGGATGGCTCAGTCCCCTGCTCTCCCAGTTGAAAACTCCCTTCCCGTCAATGCTCTTCCAGGGCTGGAGCAGTGTTGAGTTGCAATCACAACTGTTGCCTCTATTGATAACCAGCAAGCTAATCTGGAGATCAGATTCTGGCCTGGAGAGGGAGAGGAGCCTCTTTCTTCCCCAAAAGCTCACCCCCTTCAGGTGGATTCAGATGGAAATGCCAGCGAGCCAGAGCTGGGCTTGCTGCTGTGCTGCTCAGGGGAAAGAAAACCCAACCCTCAGAAGAACTGAGCCCCTTCCTCCTTTGTGTAAAAGGAAAAAAAAAAAAAAAGCCCATCTATATAATGTTACAGGATTAGCATTAAGCAGTGCTAGGCTCAAAGTGCCCTGAACTTTCAATGGAGCTACTTTGCCATCCAGGTCTTGCTTTACTTTCTGTAACTGACTTCTGCTTTTACAGGTGGAAAAGGAAAAACTCACCCAGTCCAGTGTTCTGTCTCCAGATCTCCCAGGGAGGCTTTCCTTGCTGTTCCTGTTTCCACCTGCTCTGGAAAGGCTAGCTGCTGGTGGGGAGTCTCACTGGGGGACTGGTGTGAGTGTTATTACTGTTTTCACTCCTACAACCTGCAATTTCCACAGGGATTTTCCCTGCCCCTGGCATCTGGGCTGATAGATGATACACAACTAGCTCTGGGCTGTGGGAGTAGCTGGGGTGAGCTGACCAAAGATCCTCGTTTTCTGTACCCCAGGAAAAGAATTCAACCACTTTCATTGAGTTCAGATCCACGTCAGATGAGAGAGGGAGAGGTGGAATGGCAGCTGAGGGGTGAAGGATGCCACCAGCAGAGCCATGTTAGAGCTGATTTTCCAGCCTGCAGCAAGACTCAGGTAGGACAGGCAGAGCTCCAACCCATTGTAGGAAAACAGCCTGACCTTGGCTTTTCCCTTCTGACTTTCTGGGTGGGTGCCTTTTATTTTCCCTGCTAGGAGTTAGTTATTCCTCCTGTGCTCCCTGTACACCCTCTCCCTGCCCCTTGTCAGGAATGGAGAGGGTACAGGAATGCCAGCAGCCCAACAAGAACCAGAGAAGCCCAGACTTTTTTTTTCCCCAGGAGCCTGGGGGCTCCTAGAAGTGTGTTTAGCAAGTTCACCCCCAAAGTGCTGCATCTTACATCAGCAATTTCCTTCAGCACATCAGGGGCACCAGGCAACACACCACCTCCACAGCAAATCCTGGAGTTTGCTTTTTCTTCATCCTCCAAACGTGGCCTTGCTAACAAGAGTCTTTCATTTTTTAAACTTATTTGTACCCTTTTCTAAACCAACAACTATTTTAGGAGGGCAGGGGGATATCAGCACTGATATTCCAGGGACCCATTACTTCCAGCCTGCCACTCCATGCACCCTGGCTCTTCATTTTAAACATTACCAGCCACAGGAAAATAAATTGACTCTTCTCTTTCTGTTTTGTAACACAGAGAAAACTGGTGAAAACAGGTTTCCTTCTGCTCCTTTTTCAGTTTAATATTCTGGTCCTGTTTGTCCTGGGCAAGACCACACTGATGAAGTTTGATTAGGTTTCACTGTCTCTTTGGGGAGGACGTTGTCTTCCAGGCTATTTTCTTTTGGCAGGGGATGTTCCCATCATGCAGTGCTGGACACATCGGAGCTGAACAACCAAACACTTATCTTTTTTTTTTTTTTAATTCTTCCAGCAGAAAACTTCCTCCCATGCCTGACCTCAAGAAAAAACAAGCACGAAAAGATGAGGCAAAAGGTTCTCTGGCTGCTTCATCTCAGCAGAGCAACCACAGGCATTCCCATTTCAAGGGACCCAGCACAGCTGGGAGACACCCTGGGAGGGGTTTGCCAGGAGCTCTGTCCCATCTGGAGGGACATTCTTTTTCCTCCTGCCTCTCCCCAGGGTTATTTGGTGCAGGCCACGAGGATGGAACTTGTTTTATCCCCAAGGCCACTCCCAGTGAGGACATGGAGCAGATAACAGAGTGATCTCAAGCCTCGTTCCTCACCTGGAAGTGGAGATGAATCACAGCCACGGAGAAATACAGCCCAGGAGAGGACTAGATCTTCCTTTTCCTTTCAAAAAGCACCATCACAGGTGAGGTGGCTGTGCCTGAGCTCTCAGCACACACATCAGCAGCACAAATACACCCCGGCAGCTCTCACCGCACCAAAGGTGTGAGTTAAACACGTGGGTCAGACCCACAGGAACGTTTTGCTTCAAGGGGAACACAAAAGGGCAAAGCTCAGGACACCTTTTTTTTTTTTTTTTTGTGTAAAAACTTACATAAGTTTATTGAACTGATCCAAACCAATTACCTATTTGGCCTGAATTCCACCGCTAAGTCTGCGAGCAAACCAAAGGCAAGTCGTGGGAGCGGGAAGAATATCCCCCGTGAGAGAAACCAGAATAAAAAACGAGGTGGACTTACAGCTCTTTTTCTTTGAAATTACACATGGATGCAACATTAACAGGGAGCAAGAACAGATCTTCATGTTTAAACTATATTTGAAATTTCCAGTAACTGCAGGAAAGCAATCACAGAGGCAAAGGCCCGAGATGGTTGAAGCCCCTCGAACGTCGCTCTGGGGAAGGCGTCTCTCTGCCTCCTACAGAAGTGCCACATCCAAACGAGGGAGGCACAGCTGCCAGGAATACATATTTTAGCCTCTGGGCTGCTTCCAGCACCTCGTTTGCATTTTCAAATCCGCACACGAACAGAACCTACAGAATCTCATTTACAAGCGAAAACCGGCAACCGAGGAGGGCAGAGCCAGTGCCAGAGATTCCAGACCCAAGGAGGCCCTCCCCAGAGGCAGCTCCTCCGGGCCACCCTGGGCCACACTCTCACCTGCCACTAGGATGTGTGCAGCTCCCAAAAAAACGGTGTGACAAACCCCAGCGGGGGAGCAGAGGGCAGTCAGCACGCCATGAATATTCATAACATCGCCCCTTAAGCGATCCGCCCGAAACATCTGGTCAAAACACGGATAGTCAACAGCAACGTTATCCAAAAACACACGAGAGCACAGCATCCAATCTCAGCACACGGAGCCGTGTGACACTTTGGTATGTAGCTGTCACCTAATTCCCGGTGAGCCAAGGGCTTGCCCGCCGCGCAGACTGCCCGGGGCAGACTTTAATGCCTGAACTAGCAGGAACAGCAAAACAGCTCTTGACAAAAGTAGCCCTCTGATAGAAGGACACAAAAGCTAGGAAAGCTTGCAAATCTATTTTGTTTTCTCCAAGGAATGTGGCAGAGCCAGGGATGTTTTCACCTGGGCACAGCCCCTCCTGACTCAAACCTCCTCAATCAAACCTCCTGTCACATCAGGACCCTACAGGACTCTCAGCATCCCAAACCTCCTCTCCCACTCAGAGCCCTCTCCTCTCTCCCCAAGACATGGTCCCTGTTAAGTACTGACATGGCACACGCACAAGACCCTTTCCCAAGAGGTATTACAAAAGGAAAGGGATCTGGGGTGTTTTCCCCCATCAGTTCTGTGCCTTTGGTCCTACTTTCCAAAGTCGATCATCTGGACACATAAACTGTCTCTGGGTTTTGGATGTGACTTCCTCTCCTCAGGAAGACAGCCAAGATTTTTGGTGTCCCACAAGCTGCACACAAGGTGAATGCCTTGAGAACATCATCCATTAAAAACCCTTCCCTGGAGAAGTGGCAAAGTGGTGGTGTTGATACTGTGACTTCTGACCTGCCCGAGCAGGGCAGCTGGGTTGGGTGTCAGCACCAAATCCCCAGCACTTGCTGACCTTGTATGTCAGTAGCTGTTCTTTCCCATCTCCCAGTTCCCATCAGGTCTGCCACAAATAAAACCAGGATTTACTGACAGTTCTGAGCCGGTGCAGGGACAGCACCATTCCCTCCAGGGACAGGCCAATTTTTAGTGGGCAAACAAACTTAAAAGCACATCCTTGGGTCTTCTTTATCGTCCCATTCAGCTCTTTAATGGTCTTTGTTTATTCCCTTCTCTGAAACCCAGACACTTAATTGTGCTCAGGAAGTTGGTCAAGAGTTACAGCATCTCATTAATAGCAGGTACAATGCCATAAATACACCCACAGAGGCAATTACTGCTCTACAGAATTAGGTCAGAGACACTTTTGCATCCCTCTTGGTCGCTTACCTCGGACACTGCAGCGACTCAGGGACAACCTACTTACACTGGAGGTCAAGGGCTGAAATAGGCTTCTAATATTAAACAACCATATCTTCATAAAACTTTGCTTTATAACAAAATATCTTATTAACCACAACTTCTCCTATTCGCACGTATGTATATATATATATATCATACAGAAAGTGTTGGCTTAAGAGTTCTGCTATAAGGCAGCAAATTACTTTCACTGCCCAAAACGGAAAATACATCTTCAGTAAAGCTCTAGCTTATAAAAGCATCATTTTATGTTACACTGCCACTACCTCCCTGCTGTTTCAGTTTTACAGGTACCACAGCTCTGCAGGCACATGCTGTGGTCTCTATGCTACCTGTGGAAAGTCTTGCTCCCTTTCCTATTGCTCATCTCAACGGGGCCAAGAAATTGGTATTTTTGGCAGGGGGGTGAGGCACAAATTATTAATTTGTCTTAAATCCTCCCATTTTTAATGCTTACTTTGGATGAGGAACTACTCCCCCCTCTGAACTATCCCCACATTCTGAACCTGAAGACTATGAGATAACACTTCACCCCCTCCCCATCCTATCCCACCCCACTTTTTAGGTGAAATATGAAGAGAAATACACAACTCCAGGAATATCAAAGGAGCTTGGTGATGTGGACAGAAGCATCATGGGAAAGAAAGTGCACATGGGGACAAGGGAGCATTTCAAAATTAAGGTCAGGAGTTCATGTGTAACTAGAGCCCTCACTGCACAGCTTCAAAAACTTTTATGCAGCTGCTTGTAACTAGGAAATCTGAAAAGTCTTCAACTTGTCAGGGAGCAGAGGAACAAGGGAAGACACAGGGAAGGGAAATAAGAGATAGGAAGGAAGGAGGATTTCACTGAACAGGAAAGGGAATCTGCTCTGCAGCAGAAAACAGGGGCTAACTTAAGCAGCAGCACAAGGGGGGGGGGAAGCCAATAGGGAGTGAAAACCTGCTGAACAACAAACACGAGTCTGGTTGCTTTGTTACTCAACTTGTAGGAACTGGTCTGAGCCAACACACTGTCCTGGCTCGGACCCCAAGCAGGGACCCCCAGCCAGGGGCCCCGGGGAAAGTGCTAAGGTTTGAATTCTGGTGCAACAGCAACAAACACAAACTTCAACTTCACTCTTCCTCTCCTCCCTGGAGAGGAATTTTAGCCATTCCACGTTCAGTACCAGCTGGCCAAGGTTAAGTGCATGGAGGATCCCTTCAGCATCAGGATGGACGATGGCCAGTGGGGGAAGCTCTTCAACCCCTCGCTGACCTGTTACTCTAAAAGCCCTTCCAACGCAACACCCATCCCACCACACTCCAAAATTCACTTTGCAACACACCCAAGGGTCCCGTTGCCCCCAGCCTGCCAGTGCTACAGGCTGCAGACACAGCGTGAGACGGGAACAGCCACCAAAACTTCCTGGTTTTCCCCCAAATCAATGTGGATACAGGGCGTGTGTTCTGAAAAGAAAGTTTCTTTCTGCTAAATTCTCTTTCTTTCCCCCATTTTGTGCACTCCTAGAAACCAAAGCAGCGGAGTGAAGTGGATGCACTAAGTACCTGAGCTCTGAATCAAGCGGAACAAATACTGTTGGAGATCTTGTCTGTGAACTCGAGCACAACAAAAGGTTGGGACAGCACCAAGCTGCAAGGAAATACTTCAGCAAGCTCGAGCCACAGTCGGGTAGCGAGGCCAAAGGGAGCTCTGGTGGAGCAAAACACCAAAAACTTAGGAAAAGAAAACAACAGGTCAAATTCTGCACCGAGCTGTTGTCTCCCTTATGGACCCTGGCATTCCTTAGCTTGAACAACTGACCATTCACGCCAAATCACGAGTATACCGGAGCATCAAAGGAAACATCAAGGTATTGCCCACACTGAAACACACGTCCTGAAGTCAACTGTCACCTCAAGGTCACCTGCAGTGGATGGTGGGCGTTGGTTCTCATGTCAGGGCACCTCCTCCGGGCTAAGAAATCACCTGCTACAGAAACACAACCAAACCTCAACCAACCAACCGAAACAAAAACCTTGCAAAAACTCCTTAATGCATGTGTGTGGGTGTGGGGGGGCATGGGTGTGGTCAAGAGAGGTTATTTCATTCGGGGCTCCACGTAGATTTTATCCCCATCCCGGATGCCGTAGGAGTGCAGCGCTCGGGAGCTGTACTTCATCTCCTCGGGACCGAAGGGAGCCTCCTGGTCCAAGTAGAAGAGCAGCATGTTGCTCGTGGACAGCTGCACCACAGTTTTTAAGTGCTTCTTCAGCTCTGCCACAGTCTGATCGAGGCGGATGGACATCTCCTCCACCTTATCCTGGAAGTGAACCTCCACCTTCACGCTGCTCTGAGGCCGAAGATCCACCACTGCCAAGGGTTCCAGCTTCCCGTACTTGGTGACCAGCTCGTGATACCTGGAAAATTCAACAGTGCCACAATCAGGGTGCAGTTCCACAATGCACGTTTCACAAGTCTGAATGTTCCTCACATGAGATCACACTGACCCTCATTCAAGTTTGATGACCTGGAGAGACATTCCCCAGGAATAAATTTGGGTGGTATGAGCCCTGTTTTGTCCCCTGCCAGCAGGACACTTCACAGAGCACACACTGTTTCTCAGGCAAGATGCTGAAAAGATATTTGGAAGAAAGAGAGGACGCCACACTCACAAGTCTACAACTCCTGCTCCAGTGCAAACACTTCACTAAAGAGTGCCAGAAGCAAGCCAGTGCTCATACAGAGGACACAGCCCTCAGTTAGGATTCCCAGTGTCTGTGGCTTCATGGTTTAGCAGATTGTCAGACATCCCTGCTGTTTCCAAAGGGCCAGCTATGTCCCAAATGTTACAGTCATCAAGATCACCAAATCAAGGTGAGCCGCTGCACGGTTTGGAAGGTGACAACAAAACAGGGGACTTCTTGCCAACTCTAAAACAAGATGGGAATTTTACCAGCAGAGCCACACACCCCACTGTCACTTTCTCCTTGGAGCCAAGTTCTCTTCCCAAGGTCCATCCCAGGGAGCCATTCCTGGCAATGGAAAGTCTGTCTCACCCTCAGCGGGTATCGCTCCCCTCAGGCAAGGCTGCATCTCCCTGCCTGGCTGGGAAAGAGGCAGAATGGCAGCACAAAACACAATGGGACTGAAATGACAAAGGCAGAGCTGCTGAGGAAAGGTAACATTTCAGAGCCCCTCCGCTCTGCCCAGCACAGAAAGCGCTTTTTGTTCCCGCTCCCAGCCCGAGCTGAATGCGATCGGTGCCGTGTCACGGCCCCTGTCGAGCAATGATGGGACCTGGCAGGCTGGGAGACCCCAGGGAGTCCTGCCGGAGGCAGGAATGTTCCTGGAGAACAGCAGCCCCTCTGTCTGCTGGGAAGTGAGGTAAGGGCCACAACGCACTAGGATTTCCCCAGTCTCACGGGCAAACCGAGCCTTCCCCAGGGCACAGCGTCCAAAGGCAGCCTGGTGCCCTGCTCTCACAGCCACCTGCTGATAGGATCAGGACTATTTGTTTGGAAAAGCCATTAGTGCTGAGAGGAGACAACACACTCCCCATATTTGACCCACCTGCAGCTACAGCAAGTGCCAACCAACATGTCATCGACGGGGAGGGTTTCTCTGCAGCACAGTTTCCTCCAGGTCTAGAAGGATTTGTCAGCAGGGAAAGGGGCAGAGAGGTGTCCACCCCTTGCTGCTCCAAGCCCTCAGCCCACTCTGGGACATCCCTTTAACTCTCACCATCTCTGCTGCTGCAGACCAGCAACACTTTCTTATGTGCCAACTGGAATTACTGTCCTGACTGGTGCACTGAGGGCAGCTGCAGTGAACTGGGCTGACAGTGGAGAGAGCATAAAGAGGGGGGCAAATTTCGAGCAAGCTGAGAGAGAGAAGCACCATCAGTGGGCTAAGATGACCCAAATATGTGCTGTTAACATGTGGAGGGTCAGGCAACACTGTCTTAAATTTTCTTGTGTTGAGGGAAGGCAGAAGCAGCTCTGCAGTCTGCCCCTTGTATGTGAGCTGCAAAGAAGGTCGGGAGTCTGAGTGACTGGCTTCCCTCAGATCAATAGGGATGAAGGCACACTGCTTATAAGGTTCTTTTGTACCCCGATAATAGGCACCCTGGAGACTTTTCTAATCACCCTTGCAGACACTGGCTGCCAGAGCAGAGGATGCTGAAGGATTGAGCCTGGCTAAAAGTGCCTCTGATACTCTGCAGATAAACAGTGGCCCAGACAAGCAGAGGAGTCATTAAAAACCCAGAGACACGGCGACGTCACTCCAGGAGACAGCCAATATTGGACTGTACACTCAGTGCTCCCTCTAACCCACGGCATCCAGAGAGATAAATTGTTCCTTCCATTCCCCTCCCTCCCTGATCCCTTCCAGCTGCAGCCTGGGAAGACACGAATGCAGGCAGGGGGGGTTCTCCTGGCAGAGCTTATCTCACGCTGCACCTTGGCAGTCTCCAGGGGGGCTGCTCCCACTGGGAAGTTTTCTGTGCTCCAGCGTGTCCTCCCTCTGCTCCAGGCAGCACTGCAATGCAGATGCTGTACCCCCAGCAACAACATGTGTGTCCTGATTAGATTCTAATTACAAACCACCTTTGGAGAGACCACACCAGATTTGGGAGCAAAGAAGGGGAAGCTTTAGCAACAAACAGACACAAAATCCCTCTGCAAAGAATGCCAGGTTTCCCTTCCTACAAGGGCTGCTGCCAAAGGCCCAGGAACTGAAACCCAGCCCTCAGCACTGGGGACACTCTCAGCCATCTGCAGCCTCACTAGAAAATAGCCTGTAGTGGCACACAACCCCTCCAGGACAGAACAACCCTCTTTAGTAGCTGCAGGAGTCTCTTGGAAACGCTGCACAGATGAAGGGATTCAGACAAAGAGGCCATTGACCACGAAAAAGGCAGTAAGAGTGTTTAAAGGTTAGGAAACCAGAGGGGGAGGTAATCTTCCTAGCAGGTTGGTCAAAATCAGCATGGTTTTCTTGGATGGGTGAGCTATTAGTGATCTCTTAAATGAGATCCCACCTGGAAAGCAACCCCAGTGGGGTGGGGATATGTAACCATGTGGGTGCACACAGCCTGTTCCCAAAGTCCATGTCCAGAGACATGAAACAGCTTTCTTAGAAATAAAATGCTATGGAAAATAATCCATTTTGGGAGCATCACCATGAGCTCACAGCCCCTGCCTCCCCTCCCTCTCCCCTGCATTCTCTGACTCTGCTTCTATCACTTCCAATATGTCTTCCAATTTTTACGCTTCAAGGGCTTCTAAAATTACAAGCCAAGACTTGTCCTCAGGAAAAGGCACAAGAGGGATCACCAGCTGTCTTGTCTCCCTGACTACACGAGTGTCCTTTGCCTCTGAACTGACCCCAGCATGCCTTTAACAAATGTTATAATCACTGAACCTATCAGGATTCATGAAAACCACCCTGCCCTCATGCTCTATCCCAGCCTTCCCATGCCCTTACTGTACCAGGTCACAGATCCAGTGCTTTAGGAAAACAAGAGATATTTTACCTAAGAATTAAGCTGGAGGAAACACTGACCAGTCAGTGTAAACACTGACCAGATTCCATTTGCACCTTTGTCATCCATTCCAGGCCATACCTTTGACCTTCAGTGTGTCCCCACCTCTGTCTGTCCCCTCAGAGTCACACACAGAGTCTTGTCCTACCCCTTTTCTGTAAAAAAAAAGCTATAAGGCTTTGCTGTCAAAAAGCACATGAGGGTTCTAGGGCAAAAGGCACAGAAAGGCAGTGGCCTGATGGTCCCTGATCCTTCCTCAGCCCATTAGGAGCAGTAAGTAGATGCTGGCACAGAGTTCAAGTTCATTAGTTTAACCAAGATGAACGGGTTATTGGATATACTTTTCTGGCAAAGAAAACCCATCAGGCTTGTGATTTGCAGGCCTGAAAATGAGGGGACAGCTTCCTGTTGCCAGTCACATTCCACACACCAGATGGTCAAGAGGATTAGATGCCCTGGCCTGGCACCAGAGAGCACGATCTGCCCAGGCTTTGGGGCGCTCCCAAACACAGGTGGATTATGAAGGGAGCCATCAGAGGGGCCAGGAAACAATGAAGATCATGAACTGAACAGTCAGGTTGTTTAATGGCACTTGACACAGAGGATTTAAGACCGAATTTGACTCAGGAGTGATCCTACAGGTCCTCAGACAACACCCTAAAATAACAACTTCAGCTAAAACAGACAGGATTCCAAGGCAGGAGGAAAGATGAACAGCTAGCAGGATTTCCACGTAACATCACCTGTTCAGTGACCTCTCCTTTAGCCTCCTCACCCTCCTGCCCCTGCTCTCCACTGCACAGCAAAGAATTCACACCTGAATGGCACCTCCTCCTCCGGGAACTCCATGTAATATCGGATGAAGAATCTCTCCGAGTCCTCTCGCTCCCCATCGGCAACGATGCTCCCGTTGAGCTTGATGATGGATGGCAACCTGCAAGCAAGACACCGAGTTTCATGCACTTTCTCCAGGCACATTCAAGATGAAGCATTTTCATTTCACCACATCACATGCACAGGCGTTTGAGACCCAAAAACTCCTCTGGGAAGCAGAGAAGTCAGACGACATTTCCACTCCTTGACTTTCCCCACAACAAAACCAAGCTGCAAATCTTTCTGAATTCACACAGAACCCCCTCTCCTACTCCTTTTCCCACAAATACCTGCTCCCACCCGTTCACTGTCACCTCAAGCTCCTGCTGAGCAGAACAAAGAAGGACCAGACCTGGCTATTAGCAGCTTCCTGCGCTCCTCAGTGGTGTAGGACTGCAGCAAAGGAATTCCCAGCAGCTTCACCTCCTCGAGCTTGGGAAAAGAATTTAACTTGTCAATGTCTTCCCAGCAGTGCAGACCTGCTCAGAAGGAAAGACTTGTGTAAACAAACACCTGTGTATCCAAGACAATCAGAACACGTGTGACAGGTGAGTGTCACTGCTCTTCCTTTCGCTCACGAAGTGCTGAAAAAAAAACCTCCTTTTTTTTTGCTTACAAGACAGAGTAGCTGAAATTCTCTTGTGCTGTTTTCCAAGTCTAGAAGGATGATCTCCACAGCTTAGTTTTTCATGGATATGGATCACTCAGTGTTTGGCCTTGCTGCTGAGGACTGACCAGCATCAGTTATGATGGCTGCGTCTATAATGGGATGATGTCTTTTCAGTATTAAATTCATCAGGGTTTGTCATTCCAGGCAACACTAAACAGCCATCAAGTGGCTTTACCTTGCACACATGACTACCTTGAGTCCTGTTTCTGCTCACAACCCAACAATAAAACAGTCCCAGAAGCCATCCAGGCATTAAATGAAAAAGGCTTTAACTCGATTTCAGCCCCCTCCAGAGCTGGTATTTGGGATAACAAAGCAAGCAGGGAGAGTAAATAAAAAAACCTGAGGATTGAGCACCAGTAAAGCCCTGAGAGATCAACACAACTCGTTGCAGAGTCTTCACATGACACGATTTTGGAGTGCAGCAGCTTTGTCTAAAAACCCCAAGAAGTTTAACAGGCTCCTTGGGATTTCCACTTGACTTCCAGCTCCCAAAACATCAAAATGCATTACAGAACCCAGAGATCTTAAATACCTGGCATCAAAACTGCAAAACTCCTTACCACAGAGGCACTTGTTCCTCAGTGAGACAGTGCTTTCAAATCCAGCCTAACAGGCTTTTCCTCCTCTAGTTAGCTTTAAGCCTTTATTACAGGGAATCCTTGATGCTTCCATTGTGAAGCATGTTAATAAAGCACCTTCTACCTGCCTGACACTCAACCAGCACTTGCACAGCATATAAAGCTGTAAAGAACAAAAGCTGATGATGCATCAGGTACTCCTGCAGATGGACTTGTGCTGCATGTGTCATCTCATAAACACATCACAGCCCTGCAGCTCTTTCTCTCCGAGCACAGGGTGCTCTTCCCAATATTCCAAACGCTCATTCTCTGTCTGGAGCTGAAAATTCTCTGGGGCTGAAGTGTAAAAGCAGCTTCAAGCATAGCTTGTGGTGAGCTCCTAATGACTGAGCACAGGTGACAGACAGCTTCTGGTGACAGGCAGCTTGATATGTGCTGCACACCTGCACAGACCCCCATTTTACCCGAGATAAAATGGGGAATAAAAGAAAAACGGGATCCTTTCATCCTCTCCACTGCCAGACATTTATTTATCCTTCTCCAGCCAGGAGAGCACCTGAGGCAGGGATGTGAAACAGAGGGAAACTACTCACATAAAAAACCTTTGCCAGCTCATTTTGAGTAACTGCTGGTCCACACTACTCTGCCTCATCTTTGATAACGATGACTACCCAAAGCAGCAGGCAAAGCCCACAGAGATGGGCTTGTTGTCACCTGCATGGGAGGGGAGCTCTGATCAACCAGTCATTCCTCCTGAGAACAAATCCCATCCTGCTCCCAGGCTCTCACCTGATTTGTGCAAGTTGATGGATCTCAGGTTGGGGAACAGCCTTGCCAGGGAATCTTCTGTCTCTTCGATGGTGGTGAGGTTGTTGTTAGCCAGAATAAGTGTGTCCAGGGATGGAAACATAATTCCCAGTTTTCGAATTTCAGTCCAGTCTTGAAGATTATTGTCAGTTATGTGGAGCAGTTTGAGAGACTGGCAGCAAACAGGAGAACAAGACACTGTTTCGTAGTCGTTAAGGCACAGGAAGAGCTCCTCCAAGCTGCACAAGGGCAGAAGGATCATGTCAGCACCTCAACACACCTTGAGAACTGGTATTTCAATTTTATGTGATTTTAACACAACTTTCCAAAGTGATTTGCAACCCTTTAGAGCTCCATGTGGAACTTTTCCACTACACCTCTGTTCCCATCCATAAACCTTCTCCAGGGATTAAAAAAAACCCCTCCAAGTGTTTCCCTGGCCTCCCAGGATTAAATTTTTAACACATTGCTTAGGGTTACCTTCCACATTTGTGCCCAACAAGCCACCAACCCAACTCCAAAAGTGATTGGTACCTGCTCCCAGGGCTCACCACCTAATTTAAAATGGTCTTTTGATACAACACTGATTATGATTTTCCCCCCCACATCACTAGTTCAGCCAAAGATTCCCATTAAAGAAAGAACAGATTTTCAGACAACTAAAGTTTTCAGACACCTAAACTGGCTCTCCCATTCCCAGGGAAGTGGAGGTTGGCCACACAGGATATTCTGGTGTCATCAGCTCTGCTCACAAAGCCACACAAATCTGTCATCAAAGTGAAGTCAATGAGGACATCCATGGGAGCAGAATGCCAAGGTGGTCCGTGGCCAAGCCACAGAAAATCAACACTTTTGCACAGAAAAGCAGGATGAACCATGACTTGACAAGTGGGTACATCCCATTCAATCCCTGGTGCAGGTATGCACTGCACCACTCACTGTGCAGTGACTCACAGGACAGTGGGTCACCTCCCACATTTTTGGAGTGATTATCCATCCATCTCTGGTATTTAGATTCGGAGGAGAAGCTCCAAGCTTTGCAGTGCCACACAAGTTCAGCTTTTAATACAATGTAAAGCATTCCCCTGGCCAGTTCCCAAACTCCCAAAGAAAAAAACAAAAAACCTCTTTGTTTTTTAATCAACGATGTTCTCATCCCTTACCACGAAGCTCAACAACCCAGCCTTGACCTGCTTGCAAGCAAACAGCCCTTTTTCTACACCCAACTTCCCAGGCTTACTCAGGTAATTCCTGCAGGATGGTGTGCACTGTTTCCCAGGAAGCTTTGCTGTTGTTGAGCACAAGTTTGCGAACGCCAGCGAAGGACCCAGCGCAACTTCTCTCTAGAACGGACAAACTGAGAGGGTTGGAACTCAAGTTTAGAAACTCCAAGTGGGGAACGTTGGACACAATTTTACTGACCTAATGGGGAGGGAAAACAGAAAAAAAAAAAAGAGAGAAAGAAAGCAATGTGTGTCAGGCAGTAATCAGAGCTCAAGCAATAATATCCCACCTCCTAAAAAGGGATCACCACAAGCCAAAGGAGTGATATGGGGGAAAACACAGGGCTTCTGGATATCCACCTGTAACTCATACTCCAGCTATTCCTGATCTAGATGGATTGGTTAATTGCTCATTTGCCTCAACAGTTTGTTTCATTACACTCCCTGAGCAGCTTGATAAGAGATGGTCAGTCCCTTGGGAGAGGTCATAAAATCCACCTCAACCCCAAGCTGGAGCAGCAGCACATTCCAGGAGCCAGCAGGCCAGGCCTCTCTCAGCAGGGAGGCATCATCTTGAGTTTGTGGCCAACACTGGCCACTTGCTCAGCCTTCCACTGCTCCCCAGAGCTCAATCAATTCATAAAGAACACCTCACATCAACCTCATTTCCCTCTTTGCCTCAGTGGGAAGCAGCTTCCAACACCATCCACACACCAGTTGCACTGGCAAACTGGGGATTTGCAGTGCCTGGGACAGCACTGTGAGTGAAGAGCTCAATGCAAAGGGAGCAGACAGAAGAATGAAACTGGTTATGTTTTCCACGACCAGGATAATTGAATGCTGGCCTTTTTTAATCTGTGGGTGATCCCACGGGGGGGAAAAGCTGTTACAAGACCAGAGGCCAAAGCAAAGCCAGCTAAAACCCCTGAGATGGAAGTTCAGTTCAGGGCCAGTCAAAGAATTGACATTCAGGGAAAAAGACATTAATCCAGAAAATAATTATGAGTCAGAGAACACCTGTCTGGAGAGCTCTGTTCCACAAAACAATTGGGATGGGAGGAGATGGGGCAGACCAGGACACACACAGGTCACTAACTGGGCCCAGTTGTTGGCAAAGGGTGATTGCCTCATGTAGAGACTGAATTCAAGTGTGGCAAACATGAGGTAATGACCCTGCCTCACTTCACACCTCATCCTGGGTGATGTCATGTGTTGGGTGCTACACCTCAGGAATTAAGCAGACAAACTGGGTGACATCAGCCCAACAAAAGCACAGGATTCAGTAAAACTGGCCTATGATGAAGGATAGAAAAAACTGGGTTTTTTTTAGTATTATGCTAAAACAATAAAAGGAGACATGAAAGCTCTTCTTCAGGGTATAAGGGAACAGCAGTGGATGCTCCTCTGTGCCTGCTGAGAGCAGGGCAGGGAGTAATTGGCTTAAACTGCAGCCCAGGAGGCTGAAATGACTCAGTTTAGACCAGGAGGTTATTAGCTAAGCACGGGAACAGGCCACCCAGGGATCTGGAATCACCACCACGGGCAGTTTTTAAGGGAGGTATTTATCAGTTGTGGATGGGCTATGAAAACATAAACCTGTCTCAGAGGAAAGGGTCAGTGTTCACAGAAGGCTTTCAGTTCCAGGGCAGCCTACAGAGGCTGAACACAGAGCAGGGTGCAAGACATGGAGCTCGTGAGTGACCAGTGTGTGTGCAACTCTCCCAGCTGGAGATGTGAGCCCCACTGAGCTGGGACATTTCTGCAAACACCAACAGGAATTTGACACAAAAAACTACAAAACATCCCACTGTTTTCCACCTATTGCCAACAATAAACACTAACATAAAAGGAGAGCATAATCCAATGAGGAACTTAATGACACTTGAGCAGACTGAGATTGTTTTACTCACATTACATTGCATTTATCGAGCTTATTTCACCCAAGTGCTTTGAAGGATTTTACAGTAGCATTTAGAATTAATTAATGAGGCTTCAGAAATACCCTTTGTGGTAAATGTTACTAAATCTGTCTTGCAGATTAAGGTGGAGAGAGAATAAATACCTTGCCCACCATCACAAAATCAGTGGCAAAGCCAGGAGTCAACTGGACCCCCTCAGTTCTTACTCTGTTAAAAACTGCACTGCCCATTAACCTCTTGATGTTAGAAACGCCAGTTCCAGTGCTTTGCACAATAAAATAACATCAAAATGTATGTTTTTCACCCAAGGGTGAAAACTGTAAGTCTCAAGGTAAATGCAGTGAAGTGCCAAACTGGATTAATTTCACCCCGTTCGTCGCTCGGTTGCTGTCGAGGTAAATAAAAATCAGCTTTAAAGACGAGAAAGCAGCCACTAAAAATGCAGCTCCCTCCCCTTGAAACGAACAAAGTGCTGCCATAAATGTAAAGCACTTGCAGCCACAGTAAGAGCCCTCAGGAAGGTGCAGATGCCACCGTTTTACCTCGTGCCAGTCTTCCAGTTTGTTGTCGGAGAGGTCGAGCTCGAAGACGTGGGCGCAGAAGGCGGCGATCTCGTTCTCGTCCCCGGCACAGGTGATGCCACAGCTGTTCAGCACCAGCACACTCGGCAGGTTCAGGCGGTCTGGGACAAGGGGAAAAGAGAAGCTGCCCCCTGGTCAGCACTGAATTTTAGTTACAGAACCTCCAAAAGCAAAAAAAAAACCCGCCGGTCGTTCCCAGATTTAAGGAGCTCGGGGTAAACGTGGGGTTTATGACAACTGACTGGTGTCATCACAAAGTCCTTTTGATTCTACACAGGCAGTACCACTCAGTATCAGTGCCCTGCAGTTCCTGCATGTATTTCTGTCCACAGGCCAGTCCTCTGTCATTTATGGTGTGTCTCATATCAGTTCTTGCCAGAACTTGAGCTCTTCCCCAGGCATCTGCTGCAGCAGATAGGACACAGGACTAGGTGGAGCATTTGCTGCACTGCCAGACTCCCTTATCCTCTTGCCCTTAGTAACAGCAAGGATGCATTTAAGCATTTCTTCTCTAAGCTTTCCCTTCCAAGTTCAATGTAGAGGGTTCAGCACTCCCACAACCTGGAAAAGCTCAGGTGTCTACTCTGCTTTTACATTCCTGCTTCAGTTTTGCTCTAATGCCTTCTCAGGCAGGTAAATGTTCTCAAAGCTATTCTACAACCAAGGACCTCAATCACAGCTTGATGTGCTAAGGCCAAAACATGACAGAAAGCTGTGGATTTGTAACAGGAAACCATTTCAACTCAAGGAATCCATCTCAAGGCAAGGCAAGCCATCAGTTCTTACACTCCTTCACATACAACATGGCTTTCCCACCTCTCAGGAGTATCAAGAGCTATTAAAATTTAACAACCAGCTTCTTCCTAAATAGGTGGCCCTTTTTATCTCTCTGTTTAACACCTGACAGCTACAAAACTAGAAAGGATTCTAGGAGCAGACAATTATCTGGAGTGATCTGAGTTTCCAAGTTTTCTGGCTCATTAGTGTTTGGTTTTTTAAAGGACTGTGTTGCACCTTGGGAATTAGTCATGACGTACTTGTAAGTCATGTCTCAGTCACATTTTAAGCTGTGCCCTCTTTTCAGCACCCAAACAGCTCAGGTGAGCAGGTGCTCCTTTACCTGGAGAGAGGGCACTGACTGAATATTCCATCAGTCCAATTTTCTGTTTGTGTTCTTTTTGACTGACACACAGAGTGTTTTATCCTCAACTGAACTCAGGCTCTTTTCTCTCCTCTGTCAAACTCAGTTATTGGAAACCTCACCCAGCTGATTTCTGTGGTTATTTTCCCCTTTGGGGCTGGTTGTGACACAAATTGACCTGATGGATGTTTGGTCAACTCGTACAGGTCACGATGGGCAAGAGGTGACACAAAGACAGGGCAGCTCTGGTGGGATGAATGTGAATCTCAGACCCCTCTGTATAATCCAAGAACCAAATTCCAACATCAGAGCGTGAGGGAAGACTAAAGGGTGCCAAATGGATCTAGTTTAAAGGACACAGTGACACAGATTCTGCAGTCAGGGAGGCTCAAGGACATCCACAAGCAGCACAGAGCTTCAGACACACATGTGGCTAAACTCCCTTGAGGCAACAAGGTCAGAAGCACAGGAGAGGGGATTTCTGCACTAGGTCAGAAAGCATTTGGTGCCTTGAGAAGACCAAGTACACTTCAAATCCATCTGAGTCACTTGTCCCAAAAGCAGCCTGGCTGGAGATTCAGTGACTCTTCACTGTGCTCAAAATATGTCCCCTCCTGTGTACTCTGGGCTCCTGCCCCTGCAGGCATCAAACCTAAGCTGGTGGCACTGCATGGCACCACTGGCACGTGCACCAACCTCAAATTTAGGTCATGTGTTATATATTTGTTAAGCCACCTCTGCCAAAATACCTGTTGCTGCAGCCAGTAATAAAACAGGATCATTAGCTTGAAGAAAATAAGCTCTGGGGACTGTTGAACCCTCAAAACTCAGACTGCACAGGGCCTTAGGTCCATCTTCCAGTGACAGGGTTGGAACTTGAGGATGTTTAAGGTCCCTTCCAACCCAAACCACTCCATGATTCTGTTCTATTCCACAATTCTGATTCTTTTATGCTGTAGAGAAACTCCCTTGTTCTTCACAGCAACCAGTTCAGTCACTGCATCACCTTTGCCACATCCCAGTCTCTCAGCTCATCGCTAAGAAACACGTTATAATACACACTACAATACATTGTGATGGTGCTTCTTTTGGCAATTCAGGGTGGTTCCCCTTTCCTTGGATTCCCCCCAGATGCTCAGAAGGATCAGGAGCCTACCTTTCATGGGTGAGCCCTGTGGAGTTGCTGGGACGTGCACCCCCATGCCGGGGCCACGGCGGTACGGGAAGTTTTCAGGGCTGTATTTCTCACAGAGAACTTGCATGAAACTCCTTCCACTGGGCTGGTCCATGCTCCCTTCTTGGACTTCTGGTTAGTGCAGAGAAAAACAGAGCATATGAACAGTCAGCAACTAATAATCACCTCCAGCAGTGGTGCCTGAGAACACAGGAGAGAAAGCAGCCACATGGGTGACAGGTTTTATATCTGAAGCACGGATTAGTCTAACAAGTCAAATTCAAACTCCAGATTAAAGTAAAGCATTACTTGAAAAGAAATCAAAACCAGAGGGCCCAAGCTGCACAAACACACCATCACAAGCCCTCCTTACCCCACGTGCTCTTACAGGACAGCTCCAACATGCCCCAGGCTGCCAAAGGCCACTTCTGCATCTCCCAGGAGGACTGTGAGGAATCCAGAGCTCCCCTCAAACACACTGCCAGGGCAGCGAGGAGGGCAAGGAGCAAACAGCTGTTTGTGAGTAAGAGATTGCTCAAACAAGTGTTTACAAAGTCCCCTTTTCTGCTGTGTCACCAAACACTCCCCAGCACATCATTCAGCCAGACCAAAAGGCGAGTTTTGCCAGTTCCATTCTGCAGCTGCCTAATGCATCTGGAAGATAACTGTGCCCTCCCTATCTAGGCATGACACAGAACAGCACAGGAAGAAGGACTTGGCACATCACAGGCTGCTGACCTGCCTAGAAAGATACCAAGTGGCAGCTGGGAGAGTATTTGGCACAAGGATCCCTCGATGGCTGGTGTTAGACCCAGGTGGGACTAAAATTCTCTGTCCTGCTTTCCTCTCTGAACTTGGCATTTTGTGGTTTTGTAAGAGAGGAGCAGAGCTTGATACATGCACCAAGAAAGAGAATCTTGTTTTTTCCTGGGTTTCCAGAGGTCTTGTAGCACAAAATCTAGATATAAAATTCTGAACAAAAGTGATTTCAACTCCTCTTTGCTGAGAATCACCTGTTTAACAAGCTCTACTTTACTTCTCCATGACCAGACTTTCTAAAACACACCTATTAGAAAGGAACACACCTATTACAAAGGACTTCAGTAGAATAAGCAGCAAGATAACTAAAGCCTGTTATAATTTTTAATTTATATATAAAGTTTATATGTCACAAATAGGAGCTGAAAGGATTGGTCTTCCTTTAAAAAAAAAAACAACAACCCACACTATTTTTAGCCCTCAACAACTGGGTTGATTCATATCTCCAACTCAACTCATGTCACTAGTCTATCCAGAATGAAAAAAGAAATCCCTGTTAGGAACAAGGCATTTAATTTTAGGCTAAAATGTTCTACTTGGTACAAGAACAACGTGCATTGACAGCCAAGGCTTTAGGCTTAAAGGTCTCATTCCAGAGTGGTTTGGGAGCTCATTCCCATCCCATGGACAGGCAGTGCTTTCCAAACACACATTCAGACCTCCTGGTCTGGAAATGCTGGAAGTCCCCTGTGCAGAAAGCCTTCTGTCCTTCACATGGCTTTTCTGTCAACTCCATTCCTCTCTGTCTGCTGAGCAAACATCAGCTGGAAAATCCACATGAGAAACTCCCCTTAACATCCCACTAGAGGCAAAAACTGGTGTTTTCAGCTACAGTGGGAAAGCAATCCAGAGCTGAGGAAAAAAAACTAACGACATTCACATCCAACAGCTTTGAATCATCAACATTTTCCTTCCCAAGCTTTGGTTTTGCACACCAGTGCCTTTGCTAGATGACAGAAATGTCAAGGAGTGTCAGTCACCTCTTCCACTTCCCTCCTGTGGGGTGTCACAGTCACTGTAATCATGTCATGCACGTGGCTTCCCTGAATCCCTACAATTATTCCAGAGCAAGGAGCAGCACAATGTGCTAAGCAAGGATGACAGGATCCAAGGGAATGTTGTCAACACAAGGGCACGGGGTGACCTGCAAGGTGCACGTCCCTGAGTGTTCCCCTGCTGACAGCACGAGGAACAATCCACAGCCTAAAATAACTCTGGGGTTTCTAAAGGACAGCACAGACTGCAAACGATGCACTGGGCCTCTGGAAGATGTCAGCAAACAGCCTCTGTTGGTCTATTTAAATGCTCTGCTGGAGTGGCAAACAACAGGGAATGTTAGGATGGTTTGGGTTGGAAGGGACCCCAAAGATCATCTCGTTCCAACCCCCTGCCATGGGCAGGGACACCTTCCACTAGCTGGAAGACACGTCCAACCTGGCCTTGGACACTTCCAGGGATCCAGGGGCAGCCACAGCTTCTCTGGGCAACCTGGGCCAAGGCCTCCCCACCCTCACAGGGAAGAATTCCTTCCCAATATCCCACCTAAACCTACACTCTCTGTCAGTTTGAAGCCATTCCCCCTTGTCCTGCCCTTATCAATAGTCTCTCTCCATCTTTCTTGTGGCTCCTTCAGGTCCTGGAAGGTCACAATTAGGTCACCCCAAAGCCTTCTCTTCTCCAGGCTGATCAATCCCAACTCTCCCAGTCTTTCCTCCCAGCAGAGCTGCTCCATCCCTCTGATCATCTTGGTGCCTCCTCTGGACTCACTCCATGTCCTTCCTGCCCTGGGACCTCACAGCTGGAGGCAGCACTGGGAATTGTCTGCAAACAGGAGCATGACCCTGCCTCAAGATTCCAGGGAAAACCAGGGTGCTGCTGCAGCTGGTGAGGGATGTGGAAAGAGAACACTAGAAAAACACGAAAAACACTTCCATCCCCATGCTGTGTGAGGAGAACAAGAGCCCCTGGAGGAGAATGGCACCACTAATGACATGCTAATGAAATTCCAGAGCCACTCGAAGGCCTGCAGGCCAGATCCTGAGTAGTCACACACCAAACACATCCTGACGTGTTTGTACACAGGAAAAACAAAGCAATAAGGAATGGATGAACAGCATAAACATCAGCCTGGAAGGAGCTGGAAGGTCCTTCTCCCGAGACATGATTCAGGAGAATTATTTTTGATGTGATCTCGAGAGACAGAAAAGTGAATCACAGAACCACAGAGTCCCAGAAGGGGTTGGGTTGGAAGGGGACCTTGGAGATGGTCTAATTCCAACCCCCTGCCGTGGGCAGGGAAAGCCTATCAGGATTTAGCAGGCATAACATTAGGGCAGGTAAAGTGACCACCAGGGCAAGCCACTGCATGAAGCCCAGCACGGCTGTGTGCTCCCACTGCTGGGAGCAGCCGGCACCGGCAGCAGGACTGAAACTGCCCCAGGGACACCCGGCTGCGCCCGTGCCACCTCCTGCCCCGAACTGACACCGTGCCACCGAGGCCAGCAATTCCCATGGTGGGGCTGCCGTAAAATCCCCTATTTCCCGGGCGGTCCCTGCCCGTGCTGCTGGCGGGATGAGCGCCAGTGCTCCCGACAGCCCGTGGGCCTGCCCCGGACCCCCCGCCCGCCCCCGCCTCCCCTCACACAGGCCCTCACATCCCGCGGCCCAGCCGCCCGGGCGCCCCGCCGGCCCCCGCCGCGCTGCCGGGGTGTGCCAGGGCGTGCGGGGTTTCCCGTCGCCCCCTGTCCCTCCTTGTCCCCCCTTCTGTCCCCCCGTCCCCCTCACCCAGGCCCGGCCGCCTCGTCCCGCATCGACCCGGAAGCAGCTCCAAAACATCACGTGACGCCGCGGGCAGGTCACGTGACCGTGCCGCCCTCCCCGGTTGCCACGGAAACGGCGACGCCCGTGACGTCACCGGTGTCCCCAAAGTGGGGTTTTCCCCGGGATAAACGCGGCCGGGCGGGTCAAAGGGGGTGACCCTGTGTGAGGCACAGCTGGGCTGCTGCGCCCCTTTCTGGGCTCCTCAGGACAACAAAAAGCTCCCGGGGACGCCTTAAGGTCCTTAAGGATCCTTAAATCTTATTATACAGAATTTTAACGCAGCTTTTAACGCTTCACAACTCACCGCCCCTTGTGCCAAATTTCTGAGGTTCTGCTTAGCGTCCTTTCCACGGAAAGATTTCAGCAAAAACACCTAATTTGTACAGAGAACATAACACACACTGTTAGATACAGCTTTAGACTAAACTAGAGGAGAGGGAGGGAGATTTGTATTCCAAATGTGTCAAATGGGACCACCAGCCCAGTTTAGGGAGGTGTGCCCAGGAAAAGGCCTGAGGGTGGTCTGGAGGATGGACAGTTTTGGGGCCATGATGCTAGGTATGATAATTAGCCAGTATTATAAAATTATAACAGCTATTCTGTGAGCTTGGGCTTAATTATATTTTGTGCACCTTAAGGCCTTAATTAAAGATTTGCTCTTAACAAATTGTCCAGAGAATTTTTCTCTCATTTTAGGCAACACTGGAGCAGGACCAGCGGAGGGAAACAAGGAAAATTATTTAAAATTACATAAAATTATTTTAAAATAAATACATGAAATAAAAATAAATAAATATAAGTAAATATATTTATGCCAGAGGTAGGGGAGTTCAAGGAGAGCTGCCTTAGTCATGGCTGAATGGCTGCAGGGCATCCACACCCTCTGCCCAGGCTGTAACATCATCGGGACAGCTCTATCCTGTTACCTGCACACCAGCACAGCACAATGGCAGCATTGTGGGTGCTACCCAGGCAGAGGACAAGAAAATGTGCTCAGCAGCAGCCCAGGGGGGTGAGGGACTGCTTTAACTCCTGCTCTGCCACGTATTTCCTGCCTCCCCTTGGACTGACATCATGGGTTTGCACCCACAGGAGACAGACAACTCATGCTAAGCCAAGGAGGCAATTCCAGGAGCCCCAGAGTTGGGGCAGCAGAAAATATCCCTCCCAAGAGGCAAAGCAAGCCCTGGGCAGACCACTGCCAGAGCTGGAGCCATCAGCACATCACCACAGCAGCCCCAGCTACAAACGTAAAAGCTCTATTAGGCTTAATCATAGAATGTAATCTAATGAGATGTGCCCCAATCTATTACCACTCCCAAAATTCAGCTCCTCTGTCTCCCATTCCCTGCTTCTCCTTGGAATTGGTGTACAGCAGCTTTTTAAACAAAGCATTGGGGCATGTGTCTTCAGGACATTGTTGGAGACAGTCTGACTGACTTCCTAACCTTGCCTGATGCAGAATTATGACAGATTCACATTCAGTATGTGCTGGTTCAAATTTTACCAGTAACTCTCTGTGTGGAAGGGCTCAGGGTGTGCAGCTGCATGGTCCCAATCCCATGGACCATCTCCTTGCAGTTCTGCTGGATCACCCTGTCCTCCCCACACTCCCCACAGCAGCAGCCCAAGCTGCCAGCACTGAAATACATGCATGGCTTTCATGTTCATGGACCTGTTTGCCCTTTAACACAGGGAAAACCACTTTGGTGTTCTTTTCTTTTTACCCTGGTGACTCAATATTGGGTTTGTTTCACTCCTGTGCAGGCCAGCACAGATGAACATTGTGTTCAACATTGTGTTGCCTTGCTAACACTCCTTTAAAAAACTTCACACCCACATGCTCTGAATGGCTCATTTGATTCTTTTAATACATTCTGGAGAGAGCTTTGTCTCCATTTGGTTTCCCTTCCTCCCCTACTTCTTGTATCTGTTTCAGTGAGATAAAGAATTCCATTGCATTCAGAGGCTACACTTTTTTCCTGACAACCCTCATGGTTTTTACACAGCTCATCTGTGCTGTCTGGTTGCTAGAAGGCAGACAGAGCATACTTGAGCTGGTAACTGGCACCACAGGCCACACTTGGATTTGAAACACATTTCAGGGGCTGCTTTCTATAGTTACAGATCAAACTGGATAGAACAGATGTCTCTGTAAACCTCCACTGGGTCAGTGCTGCAAGTGTGAGAAAGTGCCTGGCCGACTTCAGAGCCCGTTTCAACAGAGCTGGACAGGTCAGGGAATTGTTAACACAATATAGTCTTCCACCTCTAGGGACCAGTTTGAATTCAGGCCCAAACTAACCCAGATTCAATGTGCTTATCACATTGGCTGCCTCATTGTTCAAGTGAAATAAGTTTGCTGGGGCTCAGTCTCCTCCTCCCTGGCACACAAGTATCCTCTTGCCGAAGTTTTTACCACCCCTGGCCCCTCCCTGGCAGGCTCCCCTTTTTCCCACAGCCACCTCCCCGGGGTTAAAGAGGCCATGGGAACTGGAATTACCTCTTTTTTTCTTGTTTCCTCCCTGTCTGGCTGTGCAGGGGATACCAACAGTGAGACTCTAACGCTGGAGCTACTTCACTGACTTTTCCATCTTATGTGACAGAGCCTCCCAATCCAAGTTATTTTCATGCTTTCAGAGCTGGACCTAATTAACCTCAGCAAGAAAAACAACCTCAATATCCAAAAAAAAAAAAAAAAATCCAGTCACAATCCTTCCCTCATTACTCGTGTTTCTAATTCACCACTAATTAATGTCACCCACTGTCACAGGAGTCTGAGTAGGTTCATAGGATTGCACATCCTGAGACCAGAAGGGAAACAGTGTTACATCCAGAATAAAAGCCATAGACTCCCCTAATTTCACTGTCATTTGGTCTGAAGGCTAAAAATCCCCAAGCACGTACTCCTGAAAAATTACCTGAGACGGAGAATCCAACAGAGTCTGCGAAAAATCAAACAGTTAATTACTGATGATGCTAATAAAAAAAAAAAAAATAAAAGCAGGCTTCATTCCAGCCAGAGTGAGGCATCTAAACCCAATTAATTCCCAACCCACCCCAATAATGTTCAAAAGGTCTCGCTGTACCCAGGGCTGGAGTGTCCCTGTCACACTTGGGGACACCGAATTTCCCTGGCTCGCACACAGAGAGAGTGGCAGCAGCAGGGGAAGGAGCTTTTGGGAGACTCTGCTGCTTATCAGAATACTTTTCCCTATATTTAAAACACCAGGGGCTTTAGGGGGAGGATTTAAACCAGGCAATTTTCTACTCTTTTTTTGTACCTTTTTGATCCCTTCGCTTCTGGGTCCGGCAACCGCAACTTTCTTCATCCCCGGAGATTATTCTTCAACCCCTCCAAGAGACTTCAATTTTCTCACAAATCTCTCTTCCTTTTTACTTAATTTAAACATTTATGGCCAATTCCATGATTTAATAATGAGAAATAAAATTGGAGATTTACTAAGTGTTGGGAGACGACCTTTCACTCCATCTGGGGATTAAGAAGGGAGTTAAAGGTGTGAGCCCTGTCAGCCACGCTGGCCTAACCTGAGCCTAATCCTGACAGGTACTGAGCACCATCAGCTCAGGGAAGTCCTGTGGGCTCAGAGCACGTTGCACATTTGGCCCCATAGGACTCAAGCTGGCGTATAAATCCATAGCAGAGCTGTCTCATAGATATTTTGCTAATAACTTTAGAGCCTGACTTCATTTAGCACCCCTGCCAGCTGATCAACTCCAAGCTGTTTCTCCCCACACCATTAATTTAAGGTAACTGTTCACTAAGATCTTTGGTTCCGCACAAGCGCTTCCCAAATCACTTCTTCAGCCTCTGTCAATTATCCCAGACTAATGCACCTTGAAGTTACCTTTTAGAGCAAACACTACTCCACAGTCATAATTATAAAATATTACCCGTGGCCAAAAGATTGGGACAATGCAGCTTTCAAACTTCAGAAATTGAGGCTGTTCATCCGAACGTAGAGACCAAAAATAAATCAGGGCCGGTGTCGTCTCAAGATCTATTGGATTTTCGGAATTTGCCAATTGTTGGCCATGTTCACGGGACCAAATGGACCTTGAGCCTTTTATCCAGTTGATTTCATTTTCTGGATGGCTGCTATTAGATAAAGGCAGCTTCCTCAGGTGCCGCTGCAGTGGCACCGGCCATCAGATTATGTCTGGCAAATCAAATCCCACACACTCGGGGCTGGCTCGCTCCTCTGGCTGCTCTCTCACCCTCTCCATCACGGTGTGGGTTCTCTTGGGCACTCAGTGTAGGATGCAGCTAAACCTGGTGTGCTTGGGAGACCCCCAAACCCACGTGTGATCTGCTGTGCCAGCTCCCGTGTTCCCTCAGTGTGGTACCTTCAGGTGCTCCAGGTGCTCACTGACCCAGCCTGAGCAGCAGGAACAGCAAACCTGGGCCTGGGCTGTGCTCAGTGCCCTTCTCCAGCCAGCTCTGGATCTGTCCCTGCTCCTCAGCACGGCCTGGCACCCACCTGCTGCCCCATTCTGGACACATCTCATTTTGGACCACTATTCCCATCCTGTTCAGTCAGACAAAGAGGGTACCAGCAGACAGGAATGAGCTCAGACGTGGAAATGGCTGTTTTTCCCTCTGCCAAATGCCCTGGATTCGTAACTAGTTGTTGTGATGAGACAGAAAAGTGCCACCGCTGTCTGATTTTGGAATGGGGCTTTGGCTGGGAGAACAGGACAAAACAGAGGGAGAAGCTGTCTCTTCCCATCTTATGTGTGTAACAACTCCATTCCAGGTCTGGAGAACGATGCTGGCTGTGTCTGTGGGCTGCCAGCATCCATAATAATTAACCATTAATGTTAGCAAACACTTGGCAAATCCCCACCCGCTCTCAGAGTCCTTTGCAAACATGAGCAGATTCAACTTTGCCAGGCCCCCTCCAGTCCTACACATTAATCCAAAGAATTTCCTCCACTTCTGTTGTCTGACAGAGTATTTAGCAAACACGGGGAGGT